TTCTGGGGACTGAACTTAGGTCCTCATATTTTCTCATCTGAGTCATCTCTCCATTCCTCTGGAATCCCCTTTAAAAAGTATTATAAATTTTGAGAGGGTCTTGTTGAGGTACCCAGGCAGGCCTTGATCTTGTAATCCTATCTCAGCCTCCCAAGTACCTGGAATTATACTACCAGGCCATGCCCCCTCTTCTTATTTCATACCCAGCACCCAAGAGACTGCCTGATGTACAGAGTTCTCAGCTAGCTGTCACAGAACTGATGGGCAGGGAAGATGACCCTGGGCAGGTGAAGCAGCATGCATATAGGAGGCTCCTGTAAGGCTGGGTGGCTGAAGCAAAAGGCGTACAGAGGACAAGGCCATGAGGACCTGGTCACTGTCCTGTAATAACAAGTCACCACTGAGCCCCCAGGACTCTGTGCACCACAGTATTTCACATTGCATTCCCTTGTCACAGCATTTGTCTGGGCGGCTCCAAAACTGCAGGGAGAGTGGGCTCTGAGCCACTCAAAGACAGATGGGTTTTGTTTTGCTTTGTTTTTTAAGACAGAGTTTCTCTGTGTAGCTCTGGCTGCCTTAAAATTCCCTCTGTAGACCAGGCTGGCCTCCAACTCAGATCCCAAGTGCTGGGATTAAAGACATGCGCCACCACCACCTGGCTCATCCTGTTTTTAAAGTTTTGTTTTTTGGTAGGGTGTGGGGTTGCACACCATTAATCCCAGAGGCAGAGGCAGGCAGTCTGAGTTTGTCCCTGTCTACATAGACAGCTTGGGTCAGCCAAGACTACACAAAGGGACTCTGTTCTCAAAGCAACAACAATAACAAAAGATTTGTTTTTATTTTATGTGTATGAGTGTTCTGCCAGCATGTAAGTAGGTGAACCTTGTAAGTGCAGTGCCACTAGAGGCCAGAAGAGGGCGCTTGATCCTTGGTAACTGGAGATACAGATGGTTTTAAGTCACCATGAGAGTGCTGGGAACCCAACCCAGGTCCCCCCCCCCCTCTGCAAGTGCAGCAAATGCCCTTAATGGCAAGTTCCTGAATTTTTTTTTTTTTTTTTGAGACAGGGTCTCTTCCTGCAGCCCTGGGTGTCCTAGAACTCTATATGTAGACCAGGCTGGTCTGGAACTCACAGTGGTCCACCAGGTTCTTTTTCCTGACTGCTGAGATTAAAAGTGTACCACTACACCCACTTGAATCTGATCTTTAAACATGACTGAAATTAATCTGAAATTAATTTTTTTTTTTTTTTTTTTTTTTTTTTTTTTTTTTGGTTTTTCGAGACAGGGTTTCTCTGCGGCTTTGGAGCCTGTCCTGGAACTAGCTCTGTAGACCAGGCTGGTCTCGAACTCACAGAGATCCACCTGCCTCTGCCTCCCAAGTGCTGGGATTAAAGGCGTGCGCCACCATCGCCCGGCCTGAAATTAATTCTTAAACAAGTTTTGGAACTAAAATATAAATCAGATTGGACAACGTCACCTGGGACCAAAATCAGAATGAGGCTGTCTGGCTGGCTGGCTGTCTTAGTGGGGTCTTGAATAAACTCCGACAGTAACTGCCACACAGGAATTTAAACTTGAGTAATAATATAAACTAAAAGAATGCTGTTGATGGCCAGGCGGTGGTGGTGCACGCCTTTAATCCCAGCACTCGGGAGGCAGAGGCAGGTGGATCTCTGTGAGTTCGAGACCAGTCTGGTCTACAAGAGTTAGTTCCAGGACAGGCTCCAAAACCACAGAGAAACCCTGTCTCGAAAAACCAAAAAAAAAAAAAACCAAAAACCAAAAAAAAAAAAAGAATGCTGTTGTTGAACAATCTTTTGAACACTGTGTTGCTCTCATTGGTTTAAGAAAGAGCTAAATGGCCAATAGCTGGACAGGAAGAGGTTAGATGGGACTTGTGGACAGGGGTGGAGTCACCAGCCAGATGCAGAGGAAGCAGGACGTGTACAAGATGAGGTAACAGGGCATGTGCAATATAGCAGCAAGTAAGTTAATAGGAATGGGTTAATTTAGGCTCTAAGAGCTAGTTAGAAACAAGCCTGAGCCACCAGTCGAGCATGTATAATTAATAAGTCTGTGTGGTTATTTGGGAGCTGGCTGGTGGCACAGAAAATTCCACCGACAGGATGCCCTCCAGTGCTATCTGTCCACCCAAGACCACCTGTGCCCCAATCCACTCACAGAATGCAGGTTGGAGAGAGAGGCCGACTTCCGAGGCGGGGTCTTCTTTGGGCTGAATATACTCCCAAAGAGAGGCATTCCTGACTTGAGGAGGAAACACCAGCACTTCCTTCTAGGGTCAAACAGATCAGTGACGTTACTTCATTGTTCTCAAATCATGGAAATATTTTAACCACTGGCAATTACCAACCCTGGCACTATCACAGGGAAGAGTTGTCCATTTAGACAGAACAGCAAAGGAAGGCTGTCTGAGGTCCCAGAAGGCCTGGCAGGAACTCCCATGTGTTGGATGCTTTTTATGTGCTGTGCAGGATGCCAATGCCTTTGCACAATCTCCTTTAACTCACAAACACCCCTTGACAAGCCCCTCCTCTTCACCCCATTTGGTTGGTGACATTTAGAAAGCTAAGGTCTTCAGTGGGAATGGGCATTTGAACCAAACTTTGTGTGGCTTCACAGTTATGTTAGCATCAGGCAAACCTGTCCCAAGTTGGCCTCACCAGAACTACAGTGTGGACCAAGGAATGAAATTTCTATCCCATAAGCCGGTCAGAGATGGACCAGGAACTCTAACTTCTGCATACACACAATTCTAAAGCTGCGAAGCTACACTGGTACTTCATTCCCAGCTGACAGTGATGCTTATCACTTGGTCCCTGTGTCAAGCCCCTTGTCCTGTTATGAGAGGTAAGGTGGTCTCAAGGAAAGGAGAGAGCCATGGTGGAACTGACAACAACACTGTCACCATTATACAGCGTCAATCCCAACCTCCTGTGCTTGTAAAAGTCACATCACTTAGCTTTTGGGAAGAGGTCAAGGGTTTTTGTTTGCTTGTTTTTTTTTTCTTCAAGACAGGATTTCTCTGTATAGTCTTGGCTCTCCTGGAACTCACTCTGTAGACCGGGCTGGCCTTGAACCCAGAGATCTGTCTGCCTTTGCCTCCTAGTGCTGGGATTAAAGGCATGTGTCACCACTGCCTGGCATCTTTCTAATTTTAAGAATAACAAATAAGGAGAAGTTTTAAAACCGGTTGCAAGGCTCCAGGGTAGTTTTTTTTAATGTATGTGTTTATGTGCTGTATGCACATGCACTGCAGGTGTGTGTGCGTGTGTCTATGTGTGTGCGTGCTTGTATGGAGTCCAGAAGAGGACACCAGGTGTGCTGCTTTATCGCCTCCTGTCACAGTCCCTTGGCAGGGTCTCTCACTGAACCTGGAGATAGACTTGTGGCCAGCAAGTCCAGACAGTCCTCTCTCTGCCCCCGACAGTGCTGGGAGTACCGGTGTGGAGTCCGCCACGGGCTTTTTCCTGGGGTGCTGGGGACTTGGATTCAGGTCACCATGCCTGTGCAGCGAGCACTCCTATTTCCTGAGCCTTTCCTCCAGTTCCCTTCAGAAATCTGGAACTCTCTCACACACACCCTTCTACAGAGTGAGTGCAAGCCGTAGCAACACCCTACGAGACTCTCTGGATGACTTTAAGATCAACTCTGCTGAGATCCTAGGTTTCTTTTTTGTTTTGTTTTTGTTTGTTGGGACAGGGTTTCTCTGTGTAGCCCTGGAGTGCACTCCGTAGACCAGGCTGGCCTCAAACTCACAGAGATACATCTGCCTTTGATCAGACACCTTTAGTCCTAGGGTTCTTTAGTGAAGCCTTCTCATAGGAAGGGCTCAGGATCAAGACAGTTATGAGGCTATACCTGGTTTCCAACCAACACCGCTGCTCACCCTCAGCGGGATCCCAGCATTTTATCGCTCAAGGGCCTCAACTGCTTTATTTTTTGTTATTGTTTTAAAATGTATGGATGTTTTCCCTGCGTGTAAGTCTGTGTACCATGTGCCTTAGGTCCGCAGATCCCTGGAACTGGTGCTACTGGCCGTCCTGAGCTGGGAATTGAATCCATCTGGTTTCTCTCCAACAGCAACTTGTGCTCTTAGACGTTGAGCCATCTCTCCAGCTCTCGAGTCTCTTAATTATAACCAGGAATAATAAAAGCACCCAGTTTGTAGGCGAGGAGTGTTTTCTTATTTACAAGTTGTTGGAGCATTTGATGCTCACCATAACCCTGGGAAGCAGATCAAGCTGTGCCCCTCTACAGGGAACTGTACTTATTGTGCGAAGCTTTAGTTCGCATCAGGTTATAAAATGCATTATCTTCACTCCGACAAGAAAGTAAAGGGAGAATCTTTGGTTCTCAAAGGCAAAAGGGTCAGCCAGTTGCGTGTCTGCAGGCGCACAGGCCACAGGACCATAGGAGTTCAGTACCAGTTAGGAGAAATCCTTCAGGTGATGGGTCAAAAACACCGTCCCAGGATGCGAGTCACCGTCGCAGGATGCGCCCGCAAACCACCCGGCTTGGCCGCCACCCTCTCTAGGTGAACCTGGGCGCCCCCTACTCCCGGGCTGGCCCCGGCCTTCGCCCAGCGCTCCCAGACGTACCTGGCGCGTCTGGGAAGCCGGAGTCCAAAGCTCTCCCCAAGCCTTCCGCAAGGATACGCCCACGTCGCGTCAACCGTCGAGAAGGCAATTGGCCGGCGCCGGGTTCCCATCGCGCGCATGCGCGGCGGCTATGGCCTCTACCACTGAGGGTGAAGGGGGAGCCATGTCCCAGAGGAGCCTCCGCGGAGCACCGGGGCTCCCGCGGGTTCCCTCTGCTTCAGCGAGCGCGGAAGACCTTGGGAAAGTGTTCTGGAGTTACTCTTACGCCAAATGGTGTAGGCCGCGAGAGTAGTACCCCCTTAGACACGTTGGTCTAGCCCCCAGGTAGCGCCGCCGTCGCCATGGTAACCGCGTGTGGCAGCCACTGGGCCAGCTCAGGGCTGCATTATTGTGGAAAAGGAGTGTGTAGTGACCCGGGCTGGACTCACAGTAGCAAAATGGCCTGCTCTTCGGCTGCCCCGCCCCGGCCACAAAGCAAAATACGCTGCTTTTCGGTGGTTTGGGGTCCCGGGTGCCAGCGGCCATCCGGAGCTCCGTTGGGTCACCGGAGGGACCCGTGGCGGAACCCGCCCTGAGGCTTTGGGATTCTCCCGAAGCTTTCAGGTAAGACAGACGAACAGACAGAGGACGACTGCTTGCCAGCAGCAAACTGGCTCCTGCCAGATCTGCCTCCTCCTCATGCCCACGAGCATGAAACTGAGGTCCAGGAAGGTCACCCAGTGAACAAGGAATCCCCTCCAGAATTCCTCAAGTCCTAATGGCGTGTATTGGGTGTGCTCTGTTTGGTAAAGTAAATGAAACGCGCCATCCAGGAGATGTTTCCTGGTGGCCTAGTGGGTGCACTAGGTGTCATCCCAGCCATAGTAAAGGATAAGACCAAAGTGCAAGCCGTTTTCCTCTTTTGCCACGCTGCATTAGAAGAGAGAGTTTCACGATCAAAATTAACCGTATCTAAAATTAACCATTCCCTGGTTCAAGAGAAACATAAAGTAGAGCACATTTGTAATTTACGGTCATTCTAGCAGTTTTTTGTTGTTGAGCCCTGAGCCTTGGGAACGCAGATCCCGTGCTTCACCGATGAGGTGTACCCAAAGCACCTTTCACTGGGCAGCCCAGGCTTCCCCGGGGGTTCTCAGCTCATCCTGCTTCAGCCTCTTAATGCTGGATTACAGACATACTCTAAACCTGGCTTCAGCCCCTACAGTTTTTTCCTTTTTTTTTTTTTAATAGATTTGGGATTTGAAACTTGGGCTCACTTTGTAGTTCTGGCTGGTCTCCAAATCCTCCTGCCTCTGTCTCTAGAGTACTGGAGACTGAAGGCTAGTGCTACCACACCTGACCCTACGCTGTTAAAAGTAAAATCAAGGGCTGGAGAGATGGCTCAGTGGTTAAGAGCATTGCCTGCTCTTCCAGAGGTCCTGAGTTCAATTCCCAGCAACCACATGGTGGCTCACAACCATCTGTAAAGGGGTCTGGTGCCGTCTTCCGGCCTGCAGGCATACACACAGACAGAATATTGTATACATAATAAATAAATAAAAAATATTTTAAAAAAAAAGTAAAATCAAAACAGATTAACTTGACTACTGCTTTATTTAACTCGGTTTTTCCAAAAATATGCTTAATCATATTGATTGATTGATTGACTGGTTTTTAATTTTAAAATAAAATTTACCTTCTTCGGTCACACTAACCAAATTTAAGAACTTTGTTTTCACATGTGGCTAATGGCTGCCGGGATGGGCAGTATCTCTGGAGCCTTCGTCTGGCCTTATTGCTTTCTCTTCTCTCCTTTAACCAATTAACTCCTGCTCTTCCTGCATCACCATTGACCTCTCTAACAAGGTCGAAACAAACTGTCGAAATGCTTAAGAAGCAGAGGCAGGGATCTCTGTGAGTTGGAGGCCAGCCTGGGCTAACTAGCAAGTCCCAGGCCAACCAGCAGGGCTACATAGTGAGACCCTGCCTCAAAAGAAGCTAAAGAGAGCACACTATGTCATCTCATACCCATCCCTGTGGACCGCCTCTGGAAGCAGTATGAGTCTTAACTCGTCGTCATACGCATAACTTTTATAAATTACAATTTATAGTTATGCACTTATTTTAATTCTACAAGTCTACCCCAATAGCCCACCCCACTAGGGGGACTTGGATCCAGTCTAACTTAGTTGACCCTCTTGTGTACAGTTAGAGCACTCTTGCTAGTCTGTGGGAGGTCCTTAGTAGTCATTGAGTGCTGAAAGTTGACAGTGAACCCAAGTCTGACTCCACAGTCTGCATTTTCAAATCCCAGCTGCCAGAATGCCCCCAGGGGAAAGTTTCTTGGCACCCACTCATCCACGCTCAGCACCTGGCACCGTGCTTGCCACAGGGCAGCTTTCAGTGAAGCTGACTCTCCCTCCTCTACAAGCTACGACTGTGCTCCCGAGCACACGTACCCTTAAATGGTATGAGGAAGAATTCAGCCTGGAGCAGTGTGTGTATTTTAAACATTCCTCTTTAGAAACACGCTACTCAGTTCTCACATTGGCATGAGTAATAGCGTTAGGCTAAAGCTGGAAGCTTCCGACAGAGTCATCTGAGCCTAGCTCCTCAGAGAACAGAGTGTAATTTTCCAGCCCTTCTGGGGAATGGGTAGGAGGACAATGAGAAGCCCTAAAACGCAGCTGCCTCCTCTCACCTCTCCCTGTTCGACCTGCCGGCTAAAGACTAGGAGCAAAGGGCAAGAAACAGTACTGACCTGGGCCTAGGTCAGTCTTCCCTTCCATCCAATGGGCTTGGTCAGGGTCATGGGTTGGTATGGAGCGATCCCTGCAACCACCAAGACCAGCGGAGTCAGATCAGAGGGAGATACACAGGTAGTTCAATTCAACAGGACTCAGTAGCTGGTCTTGGCTCACACTTCAAGAGTCTGACCCTAAGTAGTTTCTTTTAGGCACATTTAAGCACAGCACAATTAGTAAAAAGAAGTTTCCTGGTGATAATTAACTCAATCCCACGGGTACAACAAAGCTTAAGATAGGACTGCGTCAAAACTCTTTGTAAAGTGTAAGTAACATCTTCCGGGAAAATGGGTTCTATAGAAAACTGAGAAAAAAAGTTCAAGATAACTTATGTGATAAGGGTCTGGAGGGCAGCGCTGCAGATGGACTGATGTGATAACATATGTGACATGTGATAAGGGTCTGGAGGAGGACGGTGCTGTAGATGGACTGATGTGATAACATATGTGACATGTGATAAGGGTCTGGAGGAGGACGGTGCTGTAGATGGACTGAGACAGACAAGCTCCAGGGTCTGTTGGTCAGTGCGGTCTGACCACACAGATAGTGCAGAGGTCACCAGGCTGTTAACTATGTCAGTGCCTTCTGGGTGGGAAAACAGGTTGTGTGCTCCCCTTGGAAGATAAGCCCTGTGTGTTTAACCTTCCTGGTTTCCCTAGTGCGTCCGTGTGAGCACAAGAACCTACATCCTTCCCATAGGACAGTTTGCGATAGGCAACTTCTTCCAAAAAAACCCCAAAAAACCAAAAACAAAAAAGACAAAAACAAGTATTGAGTGATTAATTGTAGTGATTGCCCCTGGAGTAATTCTACTATGTAGTACAGATAATAGAAACCCAAAGATAGATATTGGGGTTCAAGCTGAAAGATCAGAGAAGCAAAGCAGCCAACCACTGAAGAGCTCTTATCTCTAAGAAATCTTCAGACTGAAAAGGGAATGAGTTCCTGTCTCATCTCGCCTTCTATTCCCCTTTAGTTCTGGGATTAAAGGCATGCACCACCACCACCGCCTGACCTCTATGGCTAACTAGTGTGGCTGCTGGGATTAAAGGTGTGTACCACCACTGCCTGGGCTGTATGGCTGACTGGTGTGGCTAGCTTTGCACTCTGGTCTGCAGGCAAGCATTATTTGTTAGATCATAAACAAAATATCACTATACTCCTAATGGAGAAAAACAGAAGTGAGTCATTCCAGTTCAGGTTTTCTTTTTTGAGACAAGGTTTGGTGAGGTAGCCAAAGCAGGCCTTGAACTCTTGATCCTCCTTCCTGAGTCCCATCACTTACCTTGCTGGGGTTTTAGGCATGTGCCACCATAGCCAGCTACCAGTTATATATATTAAGTGCTGTAATAGGTTAAAGTAGCCACATAAAAGGGTCTACTCTATGGTCCTGGTGACCTGGACTAATCCCGGGTCTTTCTAAAGATGATGTATCACCTGGGACTAAGTCCATAGATGGGACCTCATACACAAAGACACAAGGGCAATAAGAGCACAGCATGACCTGACTGAGCCGGTCCCCAGTGCTCATCACACAGGCCTGACAACCTGAGCGCTCTCCCTGGAACCCAGCTGGAAGGAGGAAGCTGACTGCATGAGGTTGTCTTCTGATCTCCTCGTGTGTACCATTGCTATATGTATTCCTGCGCCCATTAATAAAGATCTTCTTAAAAGAACATATCATGACAGGGAACCAGAAAGAAGTCTGTGGGCCAGGCCTCTGGAGTGCAAAAATTGGGAGAAGAGTGGGAAGGGAGACTGAACTGGGGGAGCAGGGTGCAGGAAGGAGTGGTAGGTAGACCTAGGTTGGTTTCTCCATGACCTTAGCTCCCTCCTTTCATTCTGTATGAGCTGCGTGAGGACAAGATCTAAGACTCTGGCTTCCCCATCCCCACGTCTTATACTCTGGATGTGGAGGGAGATACATGTTATAGGACTGGACTCAGGAGACAGGCCAGAGTGTCCTAAAAGTTAGGGACAAAGGGCTGGGCAGTTTTCTATGGATACAGAAAGCCCTAGAAGGCTTGTGCTGAGGAGGACGGTTGTCCTACGGTTATAACTCCTGAGAGCTGCAATGAGTCATGGGGTCACATGTGACAGGGTGAGACAATGCAAAGGTTCCTCCATCTTGTATTTGTTTGTTTATTTTGATTTTTGAGACAGGGTTTCTCTGTGTTACAGCCCTAGCTATCCTGTAACTTGCTCTGTAGAACAGGCTGGCCTTGGACTCACAGAGATCTGCTTGCCTCTGCCTCCCAAGTGCTGGGATTAAAAGCATGCACCACTACTGGCCAGCCCATCTTGTATTCTTGCTGAAGCCATTTCAGGTTTAACAAGAATTTGTTCTTCTTGATAGAGAATCCCATGGAAAATTACCCAGCCCTGTTCTAGGAACCCAAGGTTGGGATGTCCTAGCTAATTTGACTTCTGTTAAATTGTCTGTCAGTGTGGAAATCCCTCCAGCTAAGTGCTTACCATAGCTTCTGTTAAAACTGCTTACTGCTGCAAAGCAGCTGCTGGGTGAGATGCCAGGATTCTGCCTTTAAAAACTCTGTGTTCTGCACACTCGAGGCCACACCTGGGCCCTTGAATACCTGAGTGTAGTCCCAACTGGCTGGAATAAAGACATTCTATTGACTGTTACCTGTGTCTGAGTGGTCCTCTCTGGTGGCCTCCCTGTAGCACCTCTCCAAATCTTGTCTTAAAACTCAGGTCCAGAAACGCAAAGAGATTTGGTTTCATTTATAGTTGGAATGCTGACTTGCAGAGTGGTCTGGAGCCCTGGGTTTTCCAGTCCCCTAACCTCCACCCCCCGCATCTCCCCCTTCCTCCAGGTTTCTCTGTGTAGCTTTGACTGTTCTGGAACTCACTCTATAGACCAGGATGGCCAAGAACTCACAGAGATCCACCTACCTCTGTCTCTATTCTTTTTTTTTTTTTTTCGAGACAGGGTTTCTCTGTGATTTTGGAGCCTGTCCTGGAACTAGCTCTTGTAGACCAGGCTGGTCTCGAACTCACAGAGATCCGCCTGCCTCTGCCTCCCGAGTGCTGGGATTAAAGGCGTGCGCCGCCACCACCCGGCCTCTGTCTCTATTCTTAAGACTAAGTCAGGGCTGCCACAGAGCTCTGCAGATAATGCCTGCAGCCAAGACTGATGACCTGAGTTTGATCTCTGGAACCCACTGATGGAAAGAGACTTGTCTCCCACACCTTGTCTTTTGACCTCTACACACACTGGAGCATGTGAACTCACCAAAAAAAAAAAAAAAATTAAAAAACATAAAACGGAAAAGTTAAAAGTTTCTATAAGAATCAGTACATGGCCGGGCGGTGGTGGCGCACGCCTTTAATCCCAGCACTCGGGAGGCAGAGACAGGCGGATCTCTGTGAGTTCGAGACCAGCCTGGTCTACAAAGGGAGTTCCAGGACAGGCTCCAAAGCTACAGAGAAACCCTGTCTCGAAAAACCAAAAAAAAAAAAAAAAAAGAATCAGTACATGGCCGGGCGGGGGTGGCGCACGCCTTTAATCCCAGCACTCGGGAGGCAGAGGCAGGCGGATCTCTGGGAGTTCGAGACCAGCCTGGTCTACAAGAGCTAGTTCCAGGACAGGCTCCAAAACCACAGAGAAACCCTGTCTTGAAAAGACCAAAAAAAAAAAAAAAAAAAAAGAATCAGTACATGGGGGCTGGAGAGATGGCTCAGTGGTTAAGAACACTAGCTGCTCTTCCAGAGGTCGTGAGTTCAATTCCCAGCAACCACATGGTGGCTCTCAACCATCTGTAATGAGATCTGATGCCCTTTTCTGGCATGTGGGCACACACATGGAGGCAGAATGTTGTATACATAATAAATAAATAAATCTAAAAAAAAATAAGGGGACAGGTGACAATCTAGTTCATTCCACACAAGCACCACACATATGTGTATATTTTTTAAAACTGTGGTTTCAAAGGTGGAAATTACTTTGCTAACATGATACAGATGTAAAGGATGAGGTCATGGCGAGGCTATTGAGGGGGAAGACAACTGCATAAAACAGTTAACTTTGGGGCTGGAGAGATGGCTCAGTGGTTAAGAGCATTGCCTGCTCTTCCAAAGGTCCTAAGTTCAATTCCCAGCAACCACATGGTGGCTCACAACTATCTGTAATGAGGTCTGGTGCCCTCTTCTGGCCTGCAGACATACACACAGACAGAATATTGTATACATAATAAACAAATAAATATTAAAAAAAACCCCAGTTAACTTTGAGTAAATATTTTTGCATCCATTTGGAAAAAAAAATAAAGGACTTCCCAAACAAAAGCCTTTCTTCCTGCTTAATTGTGTGCACCGCGCCTTGTCATCCTCGTTCAGCGGGCTGTTGTGAGCATCTTTCCGCTTTTGTTTCCTGAGATGGTTTCATGCCATTTTATCCTTGCAGGCTGCCTGGATAAAGAACAAGGTTGGAGTGGGAAAAGAGAGGAAACTTCCTGCCTGCCAGTTTACAAGAACCTGACTAATGGAATCTGCCAAGAAGATGGATGTCATCAATGTCACTGCCTTGCCCATGATACCACTGGATGAACACCAGGTGGTCTCTGTCAATGCCCGGAAAGTACAGGAGAATTCTTTGAGGAAACAGTTGCAAGACCATCCCCCCAGTATCCTTCCAAAGCTGCCACTCACGGTCAGACCAAGTACCTCTCATGGTGTAATGAATGCTTAGGTTCATATATATTACCTGTTAGCCCACTCTACATACCATGGTAATTTTTTCTGAGCATGGAAGTCCTATTTGCCTCTAAAGGAATGTGATGTTTGGAAGAGTTGTTTAACTTGAGGTTTAACATGTATATATATATGGCTTTTCGAGACAGGGTTTCTCTGTGTAACAGCCGTGGCTATCCTGGAACTTGCTTTGTAGACCAGGCTGACCTTGAACTTAGAGAGAACCATCTGTTTCTACCTCCCAAGTGCTGGGATTTAAGGTGTGTGCCACCACCTCCTGGCTGAGGGTTATTTTTTAAGCAGAGGGCACTCAAAAAGAAGATGCCCAGGTCAGATCTGTTAAAAGAGGGGGAAAGTTTTGTATTGGCTCCGCTTACTCTTCCTTCCTAGGAATTAGGGCTGTGGACACAACAGGCAGCAACTAGGAAGTCAGGAGCTAGGCCTCTGTCCCCAGAGAGCTGAGCCCACCACTCAGATCCTTCATTTCCTCTGGTTGACCTCCCCTCTCCTCACCGGCTAGCCCACTACTCAGGCTCAGTCTGCCCCTCTGGCATCCACCCAGGCTCTGCCTGCCCCTGCTCTCTCCCTGGTCTCGCCTTCACCGACCCTCCTCTCTCCACTGAACTGTTTCCCTGCCGCACAGACCCCATCTCAGAGTCCATCCCACAAATAGGTTTTAAGTCTTGCTGCCGCCAGGCAGCCTACATCTTCCACTCTGCCTCCCTCCCCACATTCCTCTCCCCGACCCTTCTTGAGACACCAGCTAGTGTGATCCCATCTGGATCTGGATACTTTCTTGGGGCTCTTTCTAATGCCTTTCTTAATTCCACACTCGACTTGGCCTTGTCATTATTACACGTCCCTCTTGGTGTCTTCACTTTCCAAGTGCCATTCTCACCGATAAGAACCCTTGAGGTTAATGAAAGGGAGAGCGAGCCTGCTTTACGGGGAAGGAGGGAGTGACAGGATTCTGAGGTTTATCGAGGCATGAGGCTATCAGATAAGGTAGAACCAGTTGGACTCAAAGAGAGGTTCAATTGAGAGACGATGATAGCAGGTGCCCCTTGTCCCAGTCATCCCACACCTGAAAATCTCTCTTAAAGAAATATCCCAGGAGCCGGGTGGTGGTGGTGCATGCCTTTAATCCCAGCACCTGAGAGGTAGAGGCAGGTGGATCTCTGTGAGTTCCAGACCAGCCTGGTCTACAGAGCAAGTGCCAGGACAGCTGGGTTTGTTACACAGAGAAACCCTGTCTTGAGAAATCAAGAAAAAAAAAAAGAAAGAAAGACAAAAGAGGCTGGATGACTCTGCTATCAAGAGTGTTCACTGCTCTGGGCCCAGTTACAAGCGCCCACATCAGGCTGCTCACAGCCACCCCTAACTGACCCCAGGGGATTCACAGGCACTAGCATGCACATACGTACACTCACTCAGGCACAAGCATACATGCATAAAATTAAAACATCTTAAAAAAAAAGAGTATTCCAAAATTTGAAACCTCTCTGTGCCATGCTCACCCCAGCTTTGTTTGCTGTTGAGAGAGGCTGTAAGTGGCTTACAGAGCAACAGCCCAGCAATAGGAAATCTCGCTGAGGTGTGCGTTCTAAGTGGCCCGTTATTATGTGGCCGTCGGGTACGTTCTTGTGGAAGAGAAGTCATGGACGTGAGCCAGGCATCCGTTGACAGTGTGATTATACTTGCACGGAATACTGGAAGGCAAGCTGGTGCAGGGGCGCATGCCTGAGGCAGGGGGATGGCTACACAGACAAACAAACAAAACCCGAAAAAGAAAGCTCTCGAGACTCCATCAGAGGGACTGGAAAGGTGGCTCAGTAGCTAAGAGCACTAGCTGTTCTTCCAAAGAGCCTGGGTTCAATTCCCAGCTCACAACTGTCTGTAACTCCAATTCTAGGGGATTTGATACCTTCACACCAATGCACATAAAATAAAGCTAAGTAAATTTTTAAAAAAGACTCCAACAGAGAGGCTGGAGGCAGTGTGGACAACTTTTTCCTTGGTTAGTACTTTACAAGGTGGCTACAACACTTATTTTTCTCCTCCATCTCCTTTTCTCTTCCTCTTTGTTCTTTTTTTAAAAGATTTATTTATTAATTATATATACAGCATCTGCCTGCATGTATCTCTGCAGGCCAGAAGAGGGCACCAGGTCTCACTATAGATGGCTGTGAGCCACTATATAGTTGCTGGAAATTGATCTCAGGACCTCTGGAAGAGCAGTCAGTGCTCTTAACCTCTGAGCATCTCTGAGCCATCTCTGAGCCCTTCCTCTTTGTTCTTGACGTTGTTTGTCTGCTTGCTTTTTTCTTTTTTTGTTTTTATTTTAGACAGGATATACATTATAGCCCTGGCTAACCCAGAGATTACTATGAAGCCCAGGCTGGCCTCAAATTCATGGCACCCCTTCTGCCTCAGCCTCCTAAATGCTGGAATCACAGAGATGAGTGCTCACACCGGTTCATAAATTTTCATTTATAATTTACAAAGTGATTCACTTAGACTTGATGAAGTCAGGAATGTTGGCAGAAGGAATGAGTCAGTAGAGAGATGGTGTAGCCTGGACACCTTCCTGGCCGACGAGACCCCTCTGCCATGGGTGCCTGCTCGCCTCCTGGAGTTTCCTTAGCAACTTGCCTCCCAGCATGCATCATTGGCTCCATGAGTCAGGTGAACCAGAAGATTACTGAGATAGACCTGGGACCCAGCCTGTGGGTCAGCCTCTCGGTGAGTTGAAGCAGATACTGGAGCTCAGGCAAGGCCTTTGGGAAGAAAGGGTTCTAGGGAGAGTCATTCGAGGTGTGCCCTGCAGGCTCTGTACCCCTCCAAACACATGTTTGTACAGTTGAGGTTTCAAAGTTCACTTTTAAAAAATTAGCCGACTTTAAAAAAAGTATGTATGTGTGTGTATGCCACGTGTGCATGGGTGCTTTTGGAGGCCAGAAGAGGGCGCTTGGTCTCCCGGAGCTGGAGTTACAGGTAGTTCTGAGTCAATGTGGAAGGCCCTGAACTTGGGTCCTCTCAAAGAACAGCAGGAGCTCTTAACTGCTGGGCTCTCTCTCTAGCTCCAGCAGGCTGCTTCTTAAGAGAAGTTTTTAAATTTGCAGTGAACATATATACCATACGCCCCACCCTCACACATGTGTAACCTGCCCCATCAACCTCTCCATACCTCAGTTATAATCAGCAAACCCTTCCTGCCCCCAGCATTACTGCCGACCCCCTTACTTTATCTTAGGCTTCCCTCCTGATGAGTGTGGACCATGCGCAATGATGTGTATCATCTGCCTCTGCAGTGCATAGGGAATAGCCTCATGCCCCAGCTACGCACACCGCCCTTTGTCTCCCTTCCCTCCCAACCTCTGGCTGCCACTGGTCTACTTCTCGTCTGTTTCAACCCTAAAGAATGCTGTGACCTTGGAATCCTGCAGTGTAGCTTGAGGCATCACTTAGTAATGCACCTTGAAGGTTCTTCCTTGGCTTTCCACGGATAGCCCATTCCTTTCCAGCTTTTGCTAATACCCCATTATCTGGATGTACAGCAGTTTGTTGATCTACTCCCCTCCTTGGGCATATTGGTTACTCTCGTGCTTTGGAAACTAAGACTAAAGCCGGACATCCCTGTGCAAGCTATCACTGTGAGTGCAGCTGTTTTGGGTAAATACCAAAGGACACACTATCAAAGCCGCTTCCAAGGTGTTACAGTCTTTCCACCAGTGAGCTCTGGGGTTCCTTTGCTTGGAATCCTCACCAGCACCTGGTGGTATTGGTGTTCTGAACTTGGCTGTCCTGGTAGGTGTATGGTAGGGTTTCACATGATGATCAGACAACACAGGTTGTGGCATCTTTTCATTGCTTTTTCATCATTCCTATATCTCCTCCTCCTTTTTGAAACAGGGTTTCTCTATGTAGCCCTGGCTGTCCTAGAACTCTCTCTGTAGACCAGGCTGGCCTGGAACTCTGAGATCTGCCTGCCTCTGCTGCCAAGTGCTAGGATTAAAGGCGTGTGCCACCTCCGCCCAGCTTTCTCTGTCTTTTTTGATGAGAATGGGGTTTTTAATGTTTTGTTTGTTTGTTTTCCAAGACAGAGTTTCTCTTTGTAACAGCTCTAACTGTCCTGGAACTTGCTCTGTAGACCAGACTTGAGCTCAGAGATCCGCCTGCCTCTGCCTCCTGAGTGCTGGGATTGAAGACATGCACACCAGTGCCCAGTGGGGTTCTCAGTGTTAATTGTCAACTTGACAGTGTAGGGAGATTGGCCTCTGTTGATGTCTTTGGGAAGCTGTGTTGATTATATAGTTGAGGGGGGGCACCCTGCCCACTATGGATGGCACCCACATGCTGGAATCCTGGACTCTGTTAATGGAGAATAGGTACTGGGCACACATTCAGCGTGCTCTGCTTTCCAACTGGGAATGCAATGTGCCTGCTGCTCTGAGCACCTGCTGCTGTGAACTCTTGGCTATTCAGGGCTATCCTTCTGTGCTGGGCTAGCCTCCGGAGCTGGGCTTGCCTCCTGTGCTGGGCTAGCCTCCTGAGCTGGGCTAGCCTCCTGAGCTGTGAGCTGCAATAAGATGCTTTTATCAGATTATTCTACCACAGCGATGGGCTGGGGTGGGGAATTAAAACATGAGGTGTTTCCTAGGTCATAGGCCCATCTTTAAAAATTGAGCTACTAGTTCTCTTGTTTTTATAGTTAGATAAATCTTTTATTGGGCATACCTTTTGCAAACATTTTACCCCAGTCTGTAGCTTGTCATTTCATTGTTTTGACAATGTCTGAGGAAGACAGATATTAAAAATGTCAATGACTTTCCACTTCATCTTTGGCCTTTGGTTCCATGTCTAAAAAGTCACTGTCAGTCCCAGGGTTACTTGGGAGCTCCGACCTTATCCGCTATGGCTTTAGAGTTTTACATTGTACATTTAGGATGGTGGATGGTGGCTCATCTTGACTTGGCTTCTGTGACCCCTGCAGTTTTCACCTCTATTCATCCACGCTGCCCCAGCAGCTCCTCAGCAATGGAGCAGGGTCTCCAGTGGCACCCAGAGCTGCTGCCTCTGGCTTTCTGCTTCAGGGCGTCGGTCCCCTGTCTCTGCCCACCTTCTCAGTTTGGAGGCCACCACCTGCTCCATGTCTCCAGTCCTCACAATTCTGAGAAGAGTTGTTGATGTTTCGGTGTGTTCAGACTTTTACTGCTAGGGCAGGGTGGTGGCTGTGGCTCTCTTACCTGATGGCCTGGAAACGAGAAGTCTGCAGAGTAGTTTGGTTTTATTTTTATTAAAATCTAAAGCCCTTCCATAATCCTCAAACATGCAGAGACACATGGACACAGTGGCTCTGGTCAGGGTAGGGGCTCTTCAGTTGGCCACCGTCCCAGCCACTCAGGATTCTTGAACATGTTATGTTTGCTTGTTTCACTTTTTTTCATAGTTTTCCAAGACAGGGTTTCTATGTGTAGCCCTGGCTGTCCTGGAACTTGCTTCAAACTCAGACTCACAAAGATCCACCTGCCTCTGCTCCCTGAGTGCTGGAATTAATGGCGCGTGCATTTCGTTTTTTTAATTAATTTATTTTACATGCATTGGTGCTTTGCCTCCATGTATGTCTGCGTGAGGGTGTTGGATTCACTAGAGATGGAGTTACGGACAACTGTGAGCTGCCATGTGGGTGCTGGGAATCGAACCTGGGTCCTCTGGAAGAGCAGTCAGTGCTCTTAACTGCCGAACCATCTCTCCAGCCCCAGCATGACACAGGTCTCCAGATCTAATGAGAAGCCTAGACTAGATGACCCTCACCCGCTGTTGGAAGGGAAGTTTCCCCGGGAGTTTTTGGCGCATAGTGTTCTCCTGGTGGTGATGCCCGCCTCTTCCTCCTCTCTTCTTTCCCCTTCCTCCTCCTCCCCTCTTCCCTCCATCCCTCCCTTCCTCTCCTTTCCTGTAAGTGCTCTTTGCATTTTTGGTCTGTCTAACCCAGGCCCTCGACCTGTCATTTCTCTCCACTTTCTCACTCTTCTTCCTACCACGGCGTCTTGCTTTTTGCCAAGTGTCTCTAACCTCGTGATCTGCCTCCAGATTTTTCTCCCTGATCACCCCGGCTTTCCCAGTATCAGTTTCTGAGGACTCCAGCTCTTGTGTCATTCTCTCTCTTGCATTTATTTTTTTTTGGGGGGGGTTGTTCAAGACAGGGTTTCTCTGTAGCTTTGGAGCCTGTACTGGAACTAGCTCTTGTAGACCAGGCTGGCCTCAAACTCCCAGAGATCCGCCTGCCTCTGCCTCCCGAGTGCTGGTATTAAAGGCGTGTGTCACCACCGACCAGCTGTTGCATTTAATTTTTTTTAGAAAATTTTTTTCTTCCTTTGAGATATGTTCTCATCACCAGGAAACCTAGCGTTCAGGAGGCAGAGGCAGGCGACTCCATGTAAGTTCGAGGCAGCCTGGTCTACAAAGTGAGTTCCAGGACAGGCAGGGCTACACAGGGAAACCCTGTCTTGGGGGGAAAAAGAGAATGAGAGAGTCTCACCATGTAGCACTTGGTGAATCAGAACTCACTATGTAGACCAGGCCACCTCCAGCTTGCAGAGATCCCTTTTTCTCTGTTTATAAAGTGCTGGGATTAAAGGTGTATCAACACACCTGGTTTTTGTTTATATTTTAAAAAGTTTAAATAGCTGAGTAATACATACTGTTTTATAATATGCAGACTATTTATTAGTGAAAAGTGAAAGCCATCCTTTTCTTGCCAACTTTCCTCCCTAGAGGTACCCATTGCTATTCCTATGCCATGGATTCTTCCAGAGCTTTTGTAGGTTATTTTTACGGGCACTACATTCCTCTGGGTTAAGATATGTAAATATATACAGGATCATGCTATAAATGCTCTCTCACAGCCTGCTTTTGTCTTACTAATTTATTCATTGATTTATTTTCAGAACAAATGCCTCTCGGGAACTCTTTTCAGCCAGTACTATTGGCCTGCCTATTATTTTAGTGGCCTCGTGGTATTCCAAAGGTTGGATTGAGCATAATCAATTTATTTTCCAATGATAAATATCTCAATGGTATTTATTTTATTTTATTTTATTTATTATGTATGCAGTGTTCTGTATGCATGTTTGCCTGCACGCCAGAAGAGGGCACCAGATCTCATTATAGGTGATTGTGAGCCATGTGATTGCTAGGAATTGAACTCAGGACCTCTAGAAGAACAACCCGTGCTCTTAACCCCTGAGCCACCTCTCCAGCCCCTCAATGGTATTTTAAAACAGTGATGTATGTGTCTGTGTGAACATATGCCATGTGTGTGCGGGTGCCCATGGAGGCCAGAAGAGGACTTCAAACCCTCTGCAGCTGGAATTACAGGCAGCTGTGAGAGCCTGTCTGGGTACACGGATCTAAACCCGGTCCTCTGGAAGGGCTCTTAACTGCTGAGCATCTCTGCAGCCGCTCTCGGGCATTTGAGCGTAGTGAACATTTGAGCATAGGGAGCATATGACTGTTTCAGTGCCTTGATCTATTTTGCTTCTTGTTGCTGTGATAAAACACTTACCAAAAGCAACATGGTTGGGAAAGGATTTGTTTCCTCTTACAGCTACAGTCCATTATGGAGCGGAGCCAAGGCAGGCACTCAAGGCAGGAACCTGGGGACAGGAAATGGAGCTGCTACTGGCTGGCTCTTCATGGCTCACTAGCTGCCTGGCTGACTGTCTGGTTTACTTCCCTTTAGATTTATCTTATTTTATATGTATGACTGTTTGCCTGCATGTATTGGGTCCCCTGGAGCTGGAATTATGGATTGTGAGTCTCCATGTAGTTGCTGGGAATTGAATCTGGGTCCTCTGGAAGAGCAACAAGTTCTCTAAAGCACGGAGCCATCTCTCCATCTCAGTTTGCCTTCTTATACAACCCAGAACCACCTGCCAAGGGTGGCACTGCCCATATCAATCATCAGTCAGGAAAATGCCCTACAGACTTGCCCATAGGCCAGTCTGATGGAGGCAATTCCTCAGCTGAGGGTCCCTCTTCCCAGCTGACTCTAGTTTGTGTCAAGAAGACAAAAATCAACCACCACAGGGCTCATTTGCAGAATAAAGCCCTAGAAGTGAGGTTTCTCAGTGCGATGAGTATGGTTGGGGCGGGGGGGGGGAGAGAATGTGAGCACATAGATGCTCGCCACGGCACACATGGAGGACAGAGGACAGCTCGTGGGAGTTGGTTCTCCTTCTACTGTGTGGGTCCCAGGAATCAAACTAAGGTCGTCTTGCTGAGCCATCTTGCTGGTCCTGATTTTCTTCTCATACAAGCGAAGCCATTCTTTATGAATGGGGGCACCGCTAGCATCAGTTCGCGGCCCACCTCTGAGCTGGAATTGGAATCAAGTTGTGAATAGCAGTAGGGTACGCAGACATGCTCTCTGGATGATTCTGTGCAGGCATGTATTCCTGTGGGAGGGTAGCACTGGGTGTGGGAGCTTTCCAGTCAGACCACCAGATGGGAGGGAATGAGCCTCAACATCTGGTAAGAGGCCCCACAATAATCCACCTACCTGAGAGCATCCATAGGGATAGGATGAGCTGTATGTAACACATGCCCGACCTAGCTGGGACTTAGCGGAGCCCCTGGTCACATCAGGGACCGAGTATGTATGTGAGTGCACAGATCTGTCTGCTGTTGCCTTTATGCACCAGGCTTGACTGTGAGGTCACTTCTACCATCCTGGAACCCATTCTACTGGGCGACACATCCAGCACTTCCATAGAGAACTCTATCCAAGCACAGCTAGCCCCTTAGCTGACAAGCAATACATTGTGAGGGCACTGACATTCCCTTTTCTTTCCTTTTCTAAGGTGAGGGTGGGGAGCATCAGAGTTACAGTGGGCTCTGGTGAGAGGTCAAGGGTGACTGATTGATAACAAGGTTAGCCCCTAGTAAGTACCTGTTTGACAACTCTGGGCTGTGTGCAAAATGCACCAAATTCTTTCTCCCGGGTCCTTAGAGAGGCCATGGAAGGTAGGTGTGGTTATTACCTTCTTAACGGAAAGATCGCATGTGTGTACTTGTGGATTGCAGTCAGAACCCTGCTCTACATCCTGTGCTCCCAGAAGTGGAGCCAGGAGGATAGCATGTTGCAGGATGCTGGGTGAGATTTGTATTGATGACATACAATGGGACCATGTCAGTGACACCGATGGCCCAAGGTCCCTACCACCCGTGGGGCGGAGAAGAGGTACTTGGCTACATACTCTGTTTCAGGCCTTTGGATGCCAGTAGGATAAAGCTCCAATTCCTGACCCCTGACCCCTTCCCTGGATTTGCATCAATCTCTAATGCCCTGTTTTTTTTTTTCTTCTTCTTCTGATTTTTGAAGGCAATTGAGGAATATGAGTTGGAGAAGAAGTCTTTAAAAGAGAAAACTCACGGCAGCCTGGGAGACAGAGGCAAAAAATCCTTTCTCAGTCTGAAAAGTGCTTTTGTGGGGTTTGGTTTTTTATTCTCTTAAGTTTAGATCCTTTTCAGCATTTTTGTTTTGTGCTAGCATGGATCGCAGGGCCTTGCACGTGCCAAGCACTTGCTCAGCCACTGAGAAAAACCCCAGTTGTTAATTTTTAATCTTTGAAATGCAATTGAGTTAGAATCCAGAGTTCTACCTGAGGATAGCTTTTGTCCTCCTCTGTGGTAGCCTTCCATTAGACCTGACACTGAACGAGGAAGGAGGGAGGGACAAGACCATGCCGGGCTATCTGCTAGGTGACATCACACCAGGTGCTTTGATCCCTGCTTCTTTATAAAGCTCCACCTGGTGGTGCCACACACACACACACACACACACACACACGCACGCACGCACGCACGCGCGCGTGCGCACACATACACACACCCAGGAGAGTCCTGCTGGGGAGGAGCTTTCCTGGTGCAGAGTCTTGTCTTCCCTTCTGCTTCTGAACAGATAGGCCAGTCCAGCAGTCTGACCGTCACCAGGCAGCCCTCTCCCAGTAGCAGGTGCAGCCACTGCTTTTTCATATTTAACTTCTCCTCCATTCTCAGCCAGGAGACCAAAGGAAGAGTCACCGATATCCTGCAAAGGTTCGGAGCTCCGGAACGCCAAGGTGAACCTGACAAAAAGGGTAAGAGCCCAGTGCCATGTTGCTGTACCAATGGTTTCTACCATGAACAAAATGGGTTTTATTCTTCAGGAAGGAAGATTTGGTGTGTAGATAGCGACTCACAGAGAAAGGCAGGGTTCACTTTTTCAAAGATCTGGCAATACTTTAATTCTAGAATTGCTCATGTCACTCTTGAAAGGGCAGAGCTGAACCCAGCCTCTGCAGTTAGAGTGTCTTAGAGTTCTGTGTCTGTTACTGTTAGAGCTGAGGCATCTCCGCTTAGAGAGAGTCCTCCAGTTTCACTGCCATGGCACCACACAACTCCATGTGCCTTCTCCACAGAGGGTCCCATGTCACCACTCACCAGCCAGGCTGGTTATGGTGATCATTGTGGATGTGCCAGGAAGCGGAGATGATGGTCCAGGGCCATGCAACACGTCAAAGGACAGGCACAGCTCTCCACTCAGCTCTCCAGCCCAAGGCCAGCCCGCTTTGTTGCCGGCAAGTCCAGTGACAGCTGTCCTTGTCAAGAGTCACAGCACAGGCTAGGGGTGTGGCTCAGGGGTAGAGGGCTTGTCTAGCATGCACAAAGCCCTGGGTTCTGTCTCCAACATTGCAATTTTTTAATTTCAAAAAGAACCCCAAAAATGGGTATTTAAACTATCTAGATCACCTGTACCGAAAGCCTTAGGAAACAATGCATTATCTTTTCTGACAAAATAATTTACTATATTAATTTTGTGTGTATGGGGGAGCGGTGCACATGCCATGGCACACATGTGGAGGCCTGAGGACAACTTGCAGAAGCCAGTTCTCTATCTACCTTGTAACTCGCGGGGCTTGATCTCGTGTCATCAGACCTAGTCGCTGGCATCCTCGCTCGCTGACCCATCTTGATTGCTCGTATTTCCATTATCTTTTTATCACCTTTAACTTAGTAAATTCCGAAACAGCACAAAGCCCGGTGGTTGGGTCTGAGGTGAAATTGCCTTACACGCATTGATGGTGTCTGAGTATAGTTGTCCTGCCTGAGGTGGCATATGGAGAATGGCAGAGTGACCTCTGATTCAGGATCAGCACAGTCATTCAGCAAGCTCTTCTCTCACTGTCCCCTTCCATGGCCAAGTTATAAAAGTAAACAGCTAGCCCAGCACAGTGTATCAGTAGGTGCTGTGGGCTGATGGTACTTGCACCCCTCATTCCATTTTCCTGCATTGTCCCATCTTTTTTTATCAACTGTCATGTTTGCATTTGGTTATAAAATTTAATTTAATGATATATATTAAGTAATGTCATATATTGAGACAGTTACATTCTTTGATAAATATTACTGTTTTAAGAAATTCATGCTAGCTGGGTAGTGGTGGCACATGCCTTTAATCCCAGCACTAGGGAGGCAGAGGCAGGCAGATCTCTGAGTTCAAGGCCAATCTTGTCTACAGAGTGAATTCCAGGGCAGCCAGGGCTACACAGAGAAACTCTGTCTTGAAAATCATGCTAAATAAATGGCACAAAGAGGCAGAGGACTATGTGCTCTGAGATATTAATGACAATAATATTGAAAGTAATGAGGGAGAAATCAATTAGCATGTAGCAGTTTACATGATAATTTTGAGAACAGTATACACATACATACACACATGCATACATACATAAACATAGACACACACACCCTGAAGAAATCTAGAATAAGGCTAGGTGTCTAAACTAGGACATAAAAGTGTGTATGTGTTGGAGAGACAGGAGGGAGAGGAGGAGGGCTAACATAAATGTATTTGGAAGTCTTTGCTCAGAGCTTTAAGGAAAGCAGAGCTGACGCAGCAGGCATCGGGGAGTGGTGCTGGGGTCGGGGAGCTCTCGTTTGCTCCCTGTCTGTGAGTCTGTTGCGCTGTGTGTAGAGGGGGAGGCATGTTCTTGTTTTAAATTGTCAAGATGATGGATCCCATTTTCATAGTATGCTTTTTTTTCTCGTCAGAAAAGAGCAGATAAAAACCTGCTGGCAGAACTTCACCAACACCCCCCGTTTGATGAAACGAAGCCCAACAAGCTTCCCAATGGCGTGGACTTCTGCGATATGGTGGGCAATGTGATCCGGTCTGAGAAAAACCCGTTTAGTGGCAAGGTAAGGAAGAGAGCAGGGAGCCAGCTCACTCCAGCTGTACAGGCGCGCCTGCCGAGGCAGAGGACTCTACTGGAGGGGCAGAACCCGTTGTCAGTGCTGGCAGCAGTGCTTTTACATCCTGAGCTCTCTTGCCAGCCCTTGCAGTGTGTTTTGATCATGTGTGCTATTAAAAAAACCAACTGGAGCAAGTACCTTCATATCTACATGTCTGTCTGTGGGCTATCTGCTGTTCTCTCAACTGCTCTGTGGCACGTAGGTCAGCCTGACTTCGATCACTTTCCAGTCAGAACAATTCTGCTTTGGGTGTGGAGTATTCCCCAACAAGGCTCGTGCACAGGGCTCTGGAGGGAAGAGTGATGATGCCCCAAGATGCTTCATGCTTAGGTGAAGCAATGCCAGAGGCAGGCGACAGCTCAGTGGAGGTCTACAGAAGAAGACGGTCAGACTTCTCTTGGTGACCCTGTGGCTAGGCCTCTTCATCTTTTATGGCTGCATGATCTCTTTCCCCCAAATGGTTCTGGTCATTGGGCCTTAACTAGTCAGCCCTCCCTCCATTCCCGGGACTCGCATGGCAGGCAACTGTACTCGCTGCTACACCCCCCCAGTTATCTCCCTGTCTCTATCTCTCTTCTTCCCTTCTTTTTTTTTTCCTCCCCTTTTCCTCCTTCTCCTTCCCGCCACCTGCCTGTGCTGAGTCCCGCCTGAGTGAGATGAAGACCGAAGGCATGTGATCCAGCGGCAGACACACAGGCGTCCCTCAGTCATAGATGCTGTATGGTGGGGAGAGCATAAGCTGAGTTTGTGTGTAACTGTTTTCATTTTTGACTTAACGTGTATTTATTACTGATTCAGCAGAGTCTCGTGGCTTTGCCCTTTGCCTTGTGTCATAGATGCCTAGGTGACTCTCTCTAGAGTTGTGGGTTCCTAGTACTGGTTCTGCCGTTTGCTGGCCATATTACTTTAAGTCCTTGAGCTCTGCGGTCCTCAGTGTCCTGAACTATGGAGCCTCAGTTTCCTAGTATGTGATAATAATGTGTGCTCAGAGATTCTAGCCAGGTTAAGAGAAAATGTAATGTCACTTAGCATAGGACCATGAAAATCATGAGACTCACTGAAAAGTTAGGGTTTTTTTCTTTCTTTGTTTGTTTTTATATTTATTTATTTATTGGTTTTTGGTTTTTGAAGACAGGGTTTCTCTGTGTCGCTTTGTTGCCTGCCCTGAAACTAGCTCTTGTAGATCAGGCTGGCCTCGAACTCACAGAGATCCTCCTGCCTCTGCCTCCTGAGTGCTGGGATTAAAGGTGTGTGCCACCACCGTGCAGCTTCTTTCTTTGTTTTCATTGTTAGCAATTCAGCCCTCAGGAGGTTGGGACAAGGAGAATCACAAGCTCCTAGTACAGGGGACATAGTGAGGCCCTGTCTTGAGCAACAATAGCAGTAATAATAATAATGGCCACGATACTAATGTAAACTTCATTTCTTTTCAAGTCTTACTGTTTAGACAGAGAATTAGAGAAGTTTCTATCCTCTCCCTCCCTGAGCGCCATCTGGCTGGACAGCTTTTGGTGGCTGTTTCATGAACGGTACCAGGTAAATGTGAACCTGTGTCTCCTCCCTCACTGGCCTTGCCTTCTTATGGGACCAAGTCCTAAGTCCCTCTGTTCCAGTGAGTCACCTCTGCAGATTCAGCCTCTCACCTCCCTACTCCTGCCCCACCCACGTACCTGAACCTCAGCTCCCCTGAGCTTGAGCAGTTGGTCAAGTAGCGGGTCCAGGACAGGGGAGAGAGGAGAACGTGGGACCTCCTGGCCCAGACTTAGGAGTTTACCTTCCCTGACACTCCATACGTGCTGTGTAAATATGGACAGCAGACAAACAGCTCATTCCTCCACCTGTGGGTTGTGACCCCTTTGCAGGGGTGGGGGTGGGGGTCTCAAATGACCTTTCCCGGGGGTCACATATCAGATATTTACATTACAACTCATAACAGTAGCAAACTTACAATTATGACGTAACATTGAAAATAAGTGTAAGTTGGGGGTCATCACAGCGTTGATAACCCTGCTCTAGCAAGTAAGACTTCTGAGGTGAGATCAGTGCTTTGCCTGAATCGCAGACCCCTGCCAGGTGTGGTGGTGCATATTCAAGGCCAGCCTGGGGTCTCCTGGTGAGGCCATCTCTGATAAAACAACAAACAGAAAGAGAAAGCGTGGCAGCCCCTTGGCAGCTGCAGCAGGCATGCTGATAATTCTCTGTCTCTCACCTGGCAGCCAAACAAGGAGATTCAAAACAAGCTGTTTGACCGAATAGCCCGAAATTACGCCTTCCTGTTGTTCAAGACAATCAGGTCCCACTATGAAGAGGCGCTCATAAAAGTGAGTATAACAAAACATTCAAGTCTAAAACAGTTTAAAAAAAATTAGACATCTCACCAGGCAATGGTGGCATACGCCTTTAATCCAAGCAATTGGGAGGCAGAGGCAGGTGCATCTCTGTGAGTTCGAGGCCAGCCTGGTCTATAAGAGCTAGTTCCAGGGCTGGAGAGATGGCTCAGTGGTTAAGAGCATTGACTGTTCTTCCAGAGGACCCGAGTTCAATTCCCAGCAACCACATGGTGGCTCACAACCATCTGTAATGAGATCTGGCGCCTCTTCTGGCCTGCAGGCATACAGGGAGGAAGAATGTTGTATACATAATAAATAAATAAAATCTTTTTTTTTTTTTTTTTTTTTTTGTTTTTCGAGACAGGGTTTCTCTGTAGCTTTGGAGCCTGTCCTGGAACACCCTTTGTAGACCAGGCTGGTCTCGAACTCACAGAGATCCGCCTGCCTCTGCCTCCCGAGTGCTGGGATTAAAGGCGTGCGCCACCACCGCCCGGCCATAAATAAAATCTTTAAAACAAAACATTTATAAAAAAAAAAAAGAGCTAGTTCCAGGGTAGGCTCCAAAAACTACAGACATTTCATAGATCCTGGATAAAGTACATAAATGAGAAATTCACTGAGGAAGAAGTATGGATAGGAGAAAAGTTTAGTCACAAATCAAAACAGAAATAAAAATAATAATTGAACTCCCTGGAGCTGGGGGTGTTGCCCTGAAACAGTGCTTCTCAACATGCGTGAGATCCTAGTTCAGTCTCCAGCATCACGCAGAGAAGAGAAGAGAGGAGAAGACCCCCTCTCAGCCTGTATAGTGGTTCACACCTGTAATTCCAGCATTCAGCAGGCAGAGAGATGATTCACGTAAATTTCTGGGCTGCATAGTGAGACCTTGTCAAACAAAGTTCAATTGATCCTGTTTGGGGTGGATAGGCATAGGGAGATGCATGCGTATGCAGTGTATATATTTCCATATCTTGCTGTTTCCCTGGCTGTGCTCAGAAGCACTGAGCGTTAGAACACTGCGGAGGTGTGCTGGGAAGGCAGAGATTGCTGGCTGAGCAGAGTCTGGTTCCTGAGGAGTGTCCTCAGTGACACCTGGAGATGGGGAGATGAGGAGGCAGCCCAAGACAGAAAGGAAGGTAGCCTGGTGTTGGGAAGGAATTTGGTCACCGGTTCTTGGCTCAGCCAGGCCTCTTTTCTGAGGGCAGAGACACTGGGACTGATGCTGAGCTCTGTTTCCTCCCAGAGGCTCCCATCGCTTCTGAGCAAAGCCCTGTACACCAGCTTCTGCTGCTGCTTCCCCCAGTCCTGGTTCAACACACATGAATTCAAGTCAGAAATTTGTAACACCATGGGCCTGTGGATCTCAGGTGAGAGGGGAGGAACTTCCTGCCAACTAGGGAAGGAAGGTGGTGCAAAATGTTTCCCACCAGAGGCTGGGTGTGTTTTTCGACTAGCATCAAGACAGTCTTCCTGTTGTTTCCTTATCAGTGGAGTCTGAGCTTGGTCCTACATACCTGCATATATGCATCCCTGGCTATGGCAGGGAGTTTGTGAGTTCAAAGCCAGCCTGAATTCATGGCAAGCCCCTGCTTAAAAAAAAAAAAAAACACGAATACAGCAGCCAAAATGAACTGTAAACAAAGTTAAAGCTGGGCGTGGTAGCACACACCTAACACACCTGCAGTCCCAACACTTGGGAGGCAAAAGCTATGAGTTTGGGCCAGCCTGGGCTATATGACAAATATCAGGCTGACCAGAGTTACTTAGACCTATCTCAAAACACCAGAGGGGAAGAAAGAGGGAAGGAAGGAGCAAGGGAGGGAGAGAGATAGAGGATGAGAATGTGAGAGAGTGAACTGAGCCGCAGTCCCAATTCCCCTTTCCTTGTAGGCAGTTCTGAGACATGGCCGCCTGACCTGAGCCTGTGCCCCACCACGTCTGCAGGGAGCGAGGCAGCAAGTGTCAGTTCAGCCCTGTTAGTTATCCGTATGCCACGGACCCCAGAGCAGCAGGACCCAGGTGGCCCCATAGTCCACTTCAGCACATATTGCGCCAGCTTCACCTTGGCTTTCCCAGATAGCTTCACTCCTTTCCCCCACTTCCCTATCTCAGCATAGAACCTTCCTGAGGTCATTGAATGCTGTTATTTTTTTGTGAGGATTTTTGTTGGTCAGATATTGTGCAAAACAGGCAACTTTGACATTTTATGTTGGGAGCAAGAAGTACAACAAGGTCACTGCCTCATAAGGAGTTTTGTCACCATGGTTAAGCTCTACAGCATCCAGTAGGAAACATGGCTGGATCACAGAGGAGGAGCCGAATGCTTTGGGGGACCCCTGTGCAGGCTGCCTGGTCTTCACTCTCTTCTTTCCACGGGGAGTCACACGGAGCACATTTACCTACCTGCCAGGGAGAGGTGTGATGCCTCTGCCCAGGAGAAGCACACCAGAGATTCACGACCAAGGTTTTCATTCAGGGTCATCTTGGAGACACCTCCATCTATCTGGGATCTCAGTTCTGGAAAGCTGGTGTTTAGCCAAGCCATACTGTCTACGGACAGCCCAGGAGGAATAGCTCACTCATTAAAAAGTAGTTTTGTGTCAGTGTAAGGAACTGTTTGCTGGCTGCGTTCCCAGACACTAGCCAAGGCCTTTCTAAGCCTTGGGCTTGCTGGGTGAACTCTTCGCCGCACACCCTTTTAGCCCTCTGAACATGAAGGGTTAAAGAAGTTCAAGAGCAAACAACCGAGTATCATGCTTTAGATCCAGAGTTGTTCCCCTCCAAAGCTAGGTCTTGGGTCACTGTGGTAACCTGTCTCTCATTTCCCACCTTCTTCCTGCTGTTCCTTCTCCCTGGTCCTGCTTTTGCCTAACTAATCACTAGGAATAAACCTCCTGTCTCCTATTCTCGAGTGGAGGCAGCAGCATGGCACAGTGGCTCACGTTTCTCCAGTGACCCTTGGAAGCATCATTTCTGGCACTAAGCCTGAGAGTGTGTTGAAGAACCTTTGCTGAGCAGTTATTCACTGCTGCCCGGTCCATTGGGAGGCCCTGGGGATGTAGACCTAGCCCTAGCCCCTGCCCCTGGGGAAGGGAACTCTTTGTTCAGCAAGAACAATGGGAGGCAAACAGGAAACTGGGCAGCTGCAGCATCTTCATTAGGGCTGTCATGGGGTCACATGCCCAGGCAACAGAAAGCGGCAGGGCAGATGGCATTGTCCCCATTCCTCAGGTGAGGAAACTCCCCAGAGAGGGAGTGACAAGGCCAGAATAATGCTGGTAGCAGATCTCCAGTTCCCTGAAGCCATCAGGGAGACTCAAGGCCTCTGTTCCCCTTGTTCTGCTCCATTTTCATTAGTGGAAGTGTCTGTTACCCTCTTGGCTTCTTCTAGGGACGTATCCTTGCCCAAAGAGCTATGACAATTGGGACTACTCAGAGCTGGATCCGGAGAGGTTCCGGAGAGAAGAACTGATGTTACACAGCAGTCGACTTATAAAGGGTAAGCACCAAGCTCCAGCCCTGTCCCTTCTGCCCCTTTCACAGTCCAGCCACAGTGTAACCGAGGCAGAGTACCAGGGCACTGATGTCCCCAGCAGGTTTTCTCTCATAGGCTTCCAGGTTAGCCATCAAATGAATACAATACCAGTGTCGCTGAATATGGGGAGTAGAGTTTTACATTTGGTAGAAAGGCTGGGGACACCCAGTTCTGACACAGGGATTGCCTAGACCATGAGTTCCATCCGTAGAGCTATAAGCAAACAAGCAAATCTACCCTCTTGTCTGTCTGTTCTCCCATACTGTATCAGGTCTGTATGTACCAGTATCATCTACGAGCCTGCGTGTTCTACACTGTATGGGTCTGTATGTTCTAGTATCGTTTATGTGTTGAAATACGAGCGGTGGGCTGTGTCCCGCCACCCGGCTAGCTTTACCCAAAATAATTACACGGAAACTGTATTCTTTTAAACACTGCCTGACCCATTAGTTTCAGTTTCTTATTGGCTAGCTCTTACATATTGATCTAACCCATTTCTATTAATCTGTGTAGCCCACGAGCTGGCTTACCAGGAAAGATCTTAACCTGCGTCTGTCTGGAGTGGGAGAACCATGGCGACTCCTTGACTCAGCTTCTTTCTCCCAGCATTCTGTTCTGTTTACTCCGCCTACCTAAGGGTTGGCCTATAAAATGGGTCTAGGCAGTTTCTTTATTAATAAGAAATCATTCCCACATCATTTCCCCTTTTTCTGTTTAAACAAAAAAGAAAGGCTTTAACTTTAACATAGTAAAATTACATATAGCAAAACAGTTATCAAGCAAGAATTACAGTTACAATATTTATATCTATTTTATCTTTTATCATAACTAAGGAAAACTATAACTATTCATTCTTCAACTCCATCAAAGACTCCAGAAGGATATAATACTACCTAAGTAAACAAGAAATAAGAAAACTCTAGAAATGACAGAGACATCTCGCTGCCTGGACAGTCACCCAAAGTTCTTTTGTACCGTTGGGGCATCCATCTTCAGCCTTCAGGCCCATAGTATCCAGCAGACATTTTCATGAAGTAGGAAATTCCAAAGACAGTTCAGTCACTTTCTGCTGTATCCTGCAGAATGTCTCGCAGACTCTTTCATGAGTCAGGAACCCCGAAAGGCCATCTCACCTTTAGGCAAGTTCAGCAGTCCTCTCTCTGCAGGTTCTCTGTGTCCGGTTTATGCAACAGTCCAGGCAAGAGCAGTTTCTTGCCCAAATGGCTATCAAACTCCATAAGGATCCTTTTTGATGCCCATCTTCCTCTCGAAGTAGATTGGTGCCGCCAGGAGCAGATATGTCTCATTGTCATGAAAAGTCCTAAGTTATTAAAATATTTTAAATGCCATATTCTGTAGCCTTTGAGAGATATGAAGAATGCCTATCTGAAATATATCTCTATATATCTAGAAAATCTAAGTAACATGACTACAAACTTGACTATTATTTATGATTATCATCAACAGCCTATATTTCCTAATTATACATTACATTTTAAAAATGAACTACACAACCTTATTCAAGATCAGAAATACATATACATATAATAAAATTGACCTTAAATCTCTATCAATAAAGCAAAATCTATATTAATGCAAATTATTCATATCTATATCATATCCCCCTTTAAATGTAAAAGAACATTTATAAACAATATTTTGGGAATTATGGGCGCAGTTTTTTCTCTCCAAACTGCTTCCTGCTGAATGGGGGCGTCGTTAATTAGGTCATTTAGGGTGTAACCTGGGTGCCAGGTTTATCTCAGTTGCCAGTTGAGTGAAGTAATTTTTTGAGGGTGTTCACAGGAACTTTTCAGGAGGTCGTGGTCTATCATACCATATGGGGATAGATGCAATCCACAGGGTCTGGTCCTCTGTGAAAACAAAAGAAGACCCTTTCCAAAGCATCATATCCTTAGACCCAAATTTTGAAATCGTAATACCCTTATATCCATCCTGGTTTAGCTTGGCAGCCCATGTAATGAAATGTCTCTCTGTACTTAGCTCCTTCACAGTCAAAAATTTTAAAGAAAACACAATATACATAATCCAGACTCTCTGTGAATTTTTCATTTTTACATGGCTTATTTTTCTTTATTTATTTTAATCTCTTAACTATCTGTACTCTGTCTCTTTAAAGACTTAACTTTTTTAAAAAAAAAAACATTAACTTTATTTTGTATATTCTCTTTCTTTTCTCTCCCAAGTCTACGTACATTCATCCAACAGTGTGGTCTTTTATGTCTGAATCTGTATTATTGTGAATCTGTAATTTTTTTTTTACTATCCAGGAGCATTTCTTAAAATGTTAAGCAGTTCTTAAAAACTTAAGTTGCACCATGTACAGGTAATACGGTAATAAGGTACAGCCTGTTTCTTGCCCAGTCTAAACCTTAACTGAGCTGTTTTTATGGTAATTACGATAGTTCCTGCCTGAGACCAGCACAGTTCATCATGGCGGAGCCGAGCAGCTCCTGCCTCAGAGCCATTTGGTGCCCCTGAGCCACACACAGTTCCAGGCACACAACAGTCCACATTGCCATCAACCAAGCTGTAGCACATTATTCCAAATGCTCCATTTAAAAGCTCTGTCTCCCGCAGGATCCAGACAGAGATCGCATTGGTGGCACAGCCCAGAAAGTCACACTTTAAAATGACGCAGCTTTTTTTTTGCTGCTGTTGGTGATTTAGGAACTCTCTCTACAGCAAGCCACCAACAAACAGCCAAAAGCTGTGTTAAACTCTGTTTTTTTCTGTGATAAAAATTAAGCTCTCTCAGGTTTTACGTGGAGTTCATTAGCACGTTGGGAGCCACTCTGTTGAAATACGAGCGGTGGGCTGTGTCCCGCCACCCGGCTAGCTTTACCCAAAATAATTACACGGAAACTGTATTCTTTTAAACACTGCCTGACCCATTAGTTTCAGTTTCTTATTGGCTAGCTCTTACATATTGATCTAACCCATTTCTATTAATCTGTGTAGCCCACGAGCTGGCTTACCAGGAAAGATCTTAACCTGCGTCTGTCTGGAGTGGGAGAACCATGGCGACTCCTTGACTCAGCTTCTTTCTCCCAGCATTCTGTTCTGTTTACTCCGCCTACCTAAGGGTTGGCCTATAAAATGGGTCTAGGCAGTTTCTTTATTAATAAGAAATCATTCCCACATCATTTATGAGGCCTGTGTATTCTATGTTCTATCCAGTCTGTGTGTTCTAGTATCATCTATGAGACCTGTGTGTTCTATACTATATGGATCTGTATGTTCTAGTATCATCTATGAGGTCTGTGTGCTCTATGCTCTGTCAGGTCTGTGTGTTCTAGAATTGTCTATGAGGCCTGTGCATTCTATACTTGATTGGGTCTATATGTTCTAGAATTGTCTATGAGGTCTGTGTGTTCTATACTCTATCCAGTCTGTATGTCATACAGTAGAATATGAAAAGCTAGTTAAACCGGGCAGTGATGGTACACTCCTTTAATCCCAGCACTTAGGAGGCAGAGGCAGTGGATCTCTGTGAGTTTGAGGCCAACCTGGTCTACAAGAGCTAGTTCCAGGACAGGTTCCAAAGCTACAGAAAAACTCTGTCTCGAAAAGCTAGTTAATAGGAACCTAGGAGTTTACTGGCGCCTGGGACCTGCTGGAACCTCTGGGTGCTATTTCATCTCCATGACAGTCAAGTGAACTACAGGAGACACATGTGTGTCACCACTGAGGACACTGATGGCCAGTGGAGTAACTTACACAGTCCCAACTTTTCTATTTCCCTCCCCATACCATGTCATAGACATGTTTTGGTGGCATTCACCTCCAATTCAAGCACTTAGGAGACCGAGACAGGAGTTTGAAACCAACCTGGTCAATTACAGAGCAGAAAATTCTACTGCCCACTTGTCATCCACCCTGTGAGCACTCTGACTACAGTTCATTGGCGTTGCTACTTCACCTTGGTGGCTAGTTTAAGAGTCTGTGAAGGTCACGTCACGTCGTGTCTGTGAGCCAGGTCTTGGGCTGAGATTGTCTCTGGGCCTGTGAGCCTTGCCCCTCCTCCCTATCCAAGGGCAGAGGCAGGCAATTGAGCCCCAGCATGTGGATTGCAACTGCCTTGGGTAGAGACAGGGCACGGAGGCCACACGGAGCAGGGCCAAGATAGCTCCTGACACTGGCCATGCAAGACGTCCACACTGAGATTTGAAGGTCAATGTTTCAGACAGCTAGAGGGTGTAGTAATAGGAGCGGTGGGGCTGCATCCCCAGCACCCCAGCCGCCTGCTAGCTTCTGCCCCAAAATAACAACACACAAACTGTATTCATTTAAACACTGCTTGGCCCATTTCTATCTAGCCTCTTCTAGGCTAATTCTCACATATTAATTTAGCCCATTTCTAATCATCTGTGTAGCGCCCCTACGTGCGCTTACCGGGAAGATTCTAGCCTACGTTCATCCTGGGTCGGAGCTTCATCGCATGCGTCTGGCCTGGCGAGGGGAGCATGGCGTCTCTCCTGAGGCATCTGCTCCTGAGAGGAGAGCTATTGAGTCTCTGAGCTCACTTCCTCTTCCTCCCAGTATTCTGTTCTGTTTACTCCACCCACCTATGTTCTAAGCTATGAGCCCAAGCAGTTTGTTTATTACTTAGCCAATGAAATCAACAGATTGATAAATGACACTCCCATATCACTTCCCCTTTTTCTGTTTAAACAAAAAAAGGAAGGCTTTAACTTTAACATAGCATAATTATATATAACAAAACAGTTATCAAGTAAAAATTACAATAATCTTTATCATAACTAAGGAAAACTATAACTATAACTAACTATTCTTTAACTCCATCAAAGACTCCAGAAAGATACAATATTACCTAAGCAAACAAAAAGTAAGCAGCTTTTAAAACTCTAGAAATGACAGAGACATCTCGCTGCCTGTACAGTCACCCAAAGTTCCTCTGTACTGTTGGGGCATCCATCTTCGGCCTACAGGCCCATAGTTTCCAGCAGACATTTCCACAAAGCAGGAAATTTCAAAGGCAGTCACTATCTGCTTGACCTGAAGAATGTCTTGCAGACTCTTTCATGAATCAGGAACCCCGAAAGACCATCTCACCTTTAGGCAAGTTCAGCAGTCCTCTCTCTGCGGGTTCTTTGTGTCCAGTTCATGCAACAGTCCAGGCAAGAGCAGTTTCTTGCCCAAATGGCTATCAAACTCCATAAGGATCCTCTTCGATGCCCATCTTCTTCTTGAAGTAGATTGGTGCTGCCAGGAGCAGAGTGACTCATTGTCATGAAAAGTCCTAAGTTATTAAAACATTAAATGCCATATTCCGCAGTCTTTGAAAGATATGAAGAATGTCTATCTAACTGAAATGTATCTCTATATATCTAGAAAATCTAACTAACATGACTACAAGCTTTACTATTATCGATGATTATCCATTAACAATCTATATTTCTTAATTATACAATACATTTTTAAATGAACTACACAATCACAATACCTTAATCAAGATCAAGAAATACATATACATATAACAAAATTGACCTTAAAATCCATACCAATGCAAATTATTCATATCTATATCATATCCCCCTTTAAATGTAAAAGAACATTTATAAACAATATTTTGGGAACATGGATGCAGTTTTTTCTCTCCAAACTGCTTCCTGCTGAATGGGGGTGCTGTTAATCAGATCATTTAGGGTGTAACCTGTGTGCCAGGTTTATCTCAGTTGGCAGTTGAGTGAAGTAATTTTTTTGAGGGTGTTCACAGGAACTTTTCGGGAGGTCGTGGTCTATCATACCATATCGGGAAAGATGCAATCCACAGGGTCTGGTCCTCTGTGAAAACAAAAGAAGACCCTCTCCAAAGCATCATATCCTTAGACCCAAATTTTGAAATCGTAATACCCTTATATCCATTCTGGTTTAGCTTGGCAGCCCATGTAATGAAATGTCTCTCTGTACTTAGCTCCTTCACAGTGAAAAATTTTAAAGAAAACACAATGTACATAATCCAGACTCTCTGTGAATTTTCCATTTTCGTGCGGCTTTATTTTAATCTCTATTTCATTTCTTTTTACTTCTATTTTATATTCTCTGTATATCTTTTTTTAAAATATTTATTTATTATGTATACAATGTTCTGTTTGTGTGTATGCCTGCAGGCCAGAAGAGGACACCAGATCTCCTTACAGATGGTTGTGAGCCACCATGTGGTTGCTGGGAATTGAACTCAGGACCTTTGGAAGAGCAGGCAATGCTCTTAACTGCTGAGCCATCTCTCCAGCCCCCATCTCTGTATATCTTTGACCTAGAATAACTCTGTAGACCAGGCTGTCCTTGAACTCTCAGAGATCCGCCTGTCTCTGCCTTCCAGGCATTGGGATTAAAGGCGCATGCTACCACACCTTGAAGTCACAGAGGTCAATCTCCCTCTACCTCCCAAGTGTTGGGATTAAAGGTGTATACTACCACACCCAACTACTCTCTTTCTTCCTTATTTTTGTTTTTTACTTTAAGAATTTTAACTTTTAGTCTGCATATATTTTAACACTGTAAATCATTTAAAATTTTTCTTTGTCTTTGACGCTCTCTTTACTGTATCTCTGTTTTTCTGACCACATGAGTCTTTAATGTACCAAGCAATATCAGTAAAACTAAAGCCGTGGCTTTGCCGGTTAGATGTAGCCCATTCCTTAGCTTTCCAGCCTCATGACTGAGGTACTGGCTGTAGCCATGTTTATAGCCACAAATCTATGGCGTTTCAAGGTCCCTGCCAGCCAGCCAGCTACAACAGACAACACTCAAGTCCTCTCTCTGTAGCTGGCCCTCCTGCCTCAAACAGTCAGAGTTTGCCCTGGCAGGATGGCCCAGAAAGCCGGCATTTTTAAACGTTGCAGCTTTTTTCCTGCTACGGCTGAAAACTGAAAAGCATGTGTTCAGCTTTTCGTCAACAGCGTTTAAGTGTTTCGTAGCAGGACCTCTTAATGAGCTGCAGGGTTTTGCAGCTAAAGCTGAGTCAGGAAAGCCTCTCTTAGATGAGAGTGCTTGCTTGCCTCTAGCAAGCAGAGCAGACCCAAGAAATTGCCACATGAAACATGCTTTACTCTATTCTTTTCCAAGCTTTCTCAGGCTTTCTGTGGACTCAGTTATCCACACGTCTGGGTGCCATTTGTAGTAATAGGAGCAGCGGGGCTGCATCCCCAGCACCCCAGCCGCCTGCTAGCTTCTGCCCCGAAATAACAACACACAAACTGTATTCATTTAAACACTGCTTGGCCCATTTCTATCTAGCCTCTTCTAGGCTAATTCTCACATATTAATTTAGCCCATTTCTAATCATCTGTGTAGCGCCCCTATGTGCGCTTACCGGGAAGATTCTAGCCTACGTCCATCCTGGGTCGGAGCTTTATCGCATGCGTCTGGCCTGGCGAGGGGAGCATGGCGTCTCTCCTGAGGCATCTGCTCCTGAGAGGAGAGCTATTGAGTCTCTGAGCTCACTTCCTCTTCCTCCCAGTATTCTGTTCTGTTTACTCCACCCACCTATGTTCTAAACTATGAGCCCAAGCATTTGTTTATTACTTAGCCAATGAAATCAACAGATTGATATATGACACTCCCACATCAGGAGAGAAACCCACTGGTGTAGACGCTGTGGTTAAGTCAACTGGACCCTGCAGCTGAGCCAGGTCCCCACTGCTGGTGAAGTTTTAGTCTCGTCTTGGGGTTCCACGGAAGAGCCTGGCTGCAGCGTCAGTCTGGAAATCGTAACAGCCCCTGCTTTCCCAGGACCAGACCCTGCCTCTGTCACTGTCCTAAGCAAACACATGCTTTCCTCAGGCAATGGGTCAGGCAGGGTTTCTCTGTGTATCCCTGGCTGGCTTGGAACTCCTCTGTAGACCAGGGTTTTTTTTTTCTAAGGGGGGAGGAAAAAATAAATAAAAGAAAGAAACCAGTTCTTAAATTGTCTTTATTTCTGCATCCAAGGATTAGCTATACTCACTTTTTTTTTGTTTTGATGCATTGAAGGTTTAACAACTTGTCGTATTGTCATATTGGTAGTTTTTCTTAGTTTTTGGTGGTTGCAGGGCTCAAACCCAGAACTTCAGCTCATGCTGATCCTGAACTCTGACCCGGCAACACCCTAGTCCTAGATTTTCTTCTACTTTTGTTGTTGTTTTAATTTTTTTCTATTAATTTTGTTTAGATTTATTTTATGTGTGTGAGTGTTTTGCCTGCATGTCAGTCTGTGTGCCACATGCGTGTGCTTGGTTCTCACAGAGGTCAGAAGAGAGTGTTGGGTTCCCAGGAACTAGAGTTCCATATGTTTGTGGCCACCCTGTGGATGCTGAGAATGACCCTCTGTAGAGCAGAATGTGCTGTAACCACTGAGCCATCTCTCCAGCACTGGATTTTCCTTTTTAGACTTTTAACCCAGTCATGCCTTGTGGCATACGCTTCTAACCCCAGCACTTGGGAAGCTAAGGCAGGAGGACTGCAAATTAAAGGCCAACATGGACCCTATAGATTTCAGGGTCAGGGCTAGATAGTAAGACCCTATTTCAAAAGCAAATGAACAGAACAAGTGTAGGAGGAGGCAGGGGGCCGGGTGTGATGGCACACACCTAATCCCAGCACTTGGGAGGCAGAGGCAGGTGGAGCTCTGTGAGCTTGAGACCAGCCTAGTCTGTCAACAGCCAGAGTTACATGGTAGAGAGACCCTGTCCCCAGCAGGAGAAGTCAGGACTACACAGAGAAATGCTGTCTTAAAAACAAACAAACAAATGAAACCATTTTCTTTGGGACTTGGCTTAGTTTTGTAGGAGTCCGGGATTAGTTTTCTGTGAAGGCACTGTGACTTTGTTTTGTTATCTGTGCACCGTGCCCTGTACATGTGGCCTTGTAGGCATTATTCTCTGCTGGTTCATCAGCTCTGCCTCATTGAGCAGAGGCCCATGCTTGCCTGGGGCCAGTTCTGTTTCTGGTTCCATTACCAATGCTTTTAGGATTGTCTTAGGCTGTAACTTGAGGGGCCTGCCATTCTGTAACATGAGGGCTGGCTTGTTTGGGTTTCTGTCCAGTCCGGTACCCCACAGCCAGCAAACCCCAAAGAAAATCACACAGAGGACTTCATAAGATTGTAAACTGATTAGCCCATTAGCTCAGGCTTCTTGCTAGCTCTTATAAGTTATATTAACCCATTATTCTTATCTATGTTAGTCACGTGCCTCGGTACCTTTCTCAGTAGGCAGCTCACATCTTGCTTCTTTGGTGGCTGGGCAGAACTGAGAGGAATGGGCTTCCTCCTTCCTAGCATTCTCCTGTTTTCATCACCCTGCCTCTACTTTCTGTCTGGTTGACCCACCTATACTTCCTGCCTGGCCAATCAGCATTTATTTAAAATATGATTGACAGAATACAGACAATTCTCCCACAAGCTCACCTGCAGTGGCCAGACACCACAGAACAGCTTTTCTGTCTCCTAGGAAGAGAGTTCTCCCTCATCACTTTTAAGAAAACCTCCACGCAGAAGGCAGAACAGAACAAAAACAAGAAATTCTATCACCTTCCGGTAAGCAGAGAACACAGACCTGTACCCTGAACTACACAGGGCCCCCGAAGCTGCTACAGCCCTGGGTTTCCTGGAACACCTTGGCCGTCTATGGAAGGCATATCTCTAACCTGTTCTACTCCATTTGCTCAGAGAGGGGTCTGTTAGGCTCCAGATTATCCACTTATGGAAGGAGTATGGGGGACAACTACGGAAACGTGAGAGGAGCAGACCCAGTCCAGGTTGACCCCCAGATGTGTAGGCTCCAGGCTCACATCTGGGTCTCAGTCCTTCATCTCTGTCTGTGTCTCCCCCCACCCTCTTCTTCTCCCCTTCTCTCCCCATCCCCTCCTGAGAGTGGAATCTAGATCCTGCTAGGCAAACATCCTGCTACGGCACTATAGATGCAGCTTACAGTGGCTGCTGATCCCCTTCAGTCCCATGCTCAGAGCTGTTTTTCTTGGCCCCCTCTAGAGGATGCTCCTGATGAGGCAAGCTCAATCCCCTTTCTTTCTGAGCATCCGTGTGCTCTGGGCATCCCTCTGACCATGGCCATGTCCACACTGACCTTGAAGCTCTAGGTCAACATGCCTTTTCCTGATGACCGAGTGTCCATATTGGACACCGCATGAGGCTTGATGCCAGGTTATATGCCATGTGTTTACTACCTGGGCCTCAGCACAGAGATGATGCAACCCACCTCCATATTCCATGTGCCTCTTGTAACGGTCTCCCATTCTCACTGAGGGTTTTTTTGTTAGTTGAACTTCTCCCTCTGCTAGTATGTAAACTCTATGAGGGAGGGGCTGTCTCCTGTCACTGTCTGGACTCCTTTATCATCAAAGGTAGGCCTGCCACCAAGAAGGCACTCCATAGGATGTCTTCATGATGGTCACCCTTTGTAAGCTCTGGGCCCTGTGCTTAGCATGCGATGGAGATCTCTATCACTCCTGCCCCAAGCACAGGCAGAACAGGCGTGGCTGAGGCAAACTGTCAGTGTTTGGGCACTGCCAGTCACTGTGCCCAAAACAAATAGGTTTCTTTGTACTGAAACACAGAAAGCCTTCTGACATTTATTGCAAGAACCCAGCTGAGAGTTCCCATCTTCTGTCCTGGAAATAGAAATAATCAAAACCTGGAACCTTGAAAGCAGCTGAAATTTGAATGGCAAACCAGGACAGAGGGAGTATTTGGATGTACTGGCGATAGAGCCTCTCACCATGAGCAGACAGTCCCCATCTGCTCAGTGAGTGCAGCTGGCTGCATTCAGAACATGCATTTCAGTGGCAGCCGACTGACTCTCTGAGAGTCCAGAATTCAGGATATCAACCCGTGTTTTCTCTAAGACCGACTTGCCATCTGCCCTTGTCTTGCTCACGCACCAAGGACCTGTAGTGGATCCGCTTGTTCTGTGACTTAGTTATAAATCAGGGCTCCCAGAAACCCGTCAAAGACTCAGTCAAGTCTCCCGCCCCTTTAATGAGTTTTAAAGATGGCAGAAGGCAGCGTCTATAAAGAGGAGTTTGAGCTGGAAGATGGCTCTGTTGATAAAGTGTTGATTAAAAACCTGAAGACCTGAGTTCAATCCCCAGAACCCATGTGAAAAGACTGGGTGTGGTGGTGTGTGCCTGTCACCTAAGTGCTGGGGACGCAGAGGCAGACAGATCCCTGGCCAGCAATCATTGGCCAGTCAGTTAGTTCAATCATTGAGCTCCAGGCCACTGTGAGGTTCTGTCTCAAAAACAGTGTTCTTGAGGGCCCAGCTGTCCTGGGTGTTCTCTGTGTCTTTCAGGAAGCGCTTGCTCCTGTCCGCAGTCCTCCTGGGCACCAGAGTCCAAAACACCAGTTCCTCTCATTGCTTATTCTATCTGATGTCTCGGGCAGCTGTGAGGCATGGGAGGGGGTGCAGAGAGGAGAGCAGTGTGAGTCTTTACCTGGGGTGTGGAGAGGAAGAGGGTGCATGTGACAGAAGGCACCCAGCAGGTACCTGTGAGCTGAGAGCCCAAGGGGCTATTGGGAGAAGGAACCGGATGAATGGAGAGCCTTCCAGGAGGTAGGAACAGCTTGTACAAAGGCCTGAGCTGGGAGGGAGGAAGAGAGAGAGGGATGGAGGGAAGGAGGGAGAGAAGGAAAAGAGATAGAGCTACTTGGGGAACAGAGAGCACAGAGCTTTGTAAGTGAGGGAAATTGAGACAGGAATTAAATCTGAGGATGTGGACTGTTCATTTCCTGGAAATGAGAGGATAGACCAGATTTCCATTGTTCGTTCATGTATCACTGGACAGCTGGGCAGCTTCCATTTCCCCGCTGTAGTGAATAGAACAGCAGTAAAGGTGTTTGTGTGGTGGGTGTGCAGTTGTCCGGGTGTCTACCCAGGAGTGAGGGTCATATGGTAGTTCTAATTTTAATAATTTTCATAAAAGTTGTATTAATTTGTACCCTGCATCAGCAGTGATTCAGGCTCCTCTCCTTCAGCCCTCCCCACCATTGTACCCCACATCAGCCGTGATTCAGGCTCCTCTCCCTCAGCCCTCCCCACCATTGTACCCCACATCAGCTGTGATTCAAGGCTCCTCCCCACCATTTGTTGTCACACTTAGGATATTTGCTGCCCTTGTACAAGTCCATGGCCACAGTCCTGCATCTGGCGGTTTATGGGATCCTTCCCGTTTCCTTCTCTAGCCAGCCTCCTGGAGTGTGAAGATGGCGCCTGGAGCTCTGGCCGTCATCTTGGTCCCTAAGGACAGTCTTCTTAGAGTGAAACCCAAAGGTGGGAGAAGTCAAGACTCCTGAGCCTTAGCACGACTCTGTGGGAGAGCAGATTCTAGCTTGAGCCACTGTTATCTGGGAGTGCTTCAAGGCAGGGACTAGGTTTCTTCTGTGGTTGGCAAGCAGCAGATACCACAGTAGTTACTCAAAGAAACGTTAGTGGAGGCCATGCTCTGCCAGAATGCATAGAAGTGGCCGTGTCCGGGAGCCACAGTGAACATCGCATGTGGCAGCTGGCTTCATCTTGAAGGAACTCCAGGGAGCAAAGATATTCAGTTACTGCTCCAGATCTTTAGCAGCTGAGTGACATCCCACTAGTGCCTGACACCCACTCCACATCATCCTTTGCGCTTTCCCCTCTGACCCACTTCCCTCTGCTGTGGTCCTGAAGCTGGGCCAGAAAGCTCTTCTCACTTTACAGAGAAGGATGAGGTAGAGCCAAAGTGCAAGTATTTCTCTCATACCAGTTTTGCTAACTTTATTTATTTAAAATAATGCTCCCCTGAAGTCTTCTAGTTTACCTGCGATCCATGAGAAAATATTAAGACAGCTGACCGCAGAGGACAGCTCACGATGTCAACAAACGAAAGGTAAGCAGGCTGTGGCGGAGGGCAAGGCTGGCTTGCTTCTCCGTTCTTGCCCCTGAAACCTTGCTGCGTGGATCCCTCAGAGCACACTTTGCTTTGCCCTTGGGTTTGACCCGGGCCCTGGCACCAAGCAGTGGCTAGGAGAGGGTGCTTTGTTGTTTCAGTCAGATAAGCACCCCAGTGCACAAGACATTCCCATGACAGAGCCCTCAACTCAAGTGTCAAGAGTGCCAGGGCTTCCAACCCTGTTCATTATGTCAGGCCCTGCATCCTTGGAGTTCAGTTTATTTTGCCACCCAAGTGCTGGGATAAACTCATGTGCCACCCTTGGCAAGGATATGTTCCCAGTAAACCAAGTTAAGTTTTGTCAAGACTCCATGCCATCTCTAGAGAAAGGAATGAGGCCCTATCCAGGGCCATAGACATTCAGGCCTTAACTGCTGTTTGAACATAAAAAGTGCCCGCACAGGAAGCAGGATGAACTGTTATCAGCCTTCCCACAGATGTGGTTAATTGTGCTGGATTTCTTGCTTCTTATCTGGCAAGTTGTCAAACTCTAGGGTAACTGGGCTCCCTGCCCACTCTGTTTTCAAGACAGGGTTCCCCTGTGTACCTTTGGAGCTTGTCCTGGAACTTGCTTTATAGACCAGGCTGGCCTCGAACTCACAGAGATCCACCTGCCTCTGCACCCCACCCTTCCCAGTGCTGGGATTAAAGGTGCATGTTAGAAGGAGGCCACTTGTTCTTCCCAGCAGCCCAGCTAGCTTAGACCCAAAATAACCACACAGAAACTGTATTGATTAAAACACTGCTTGGCCCATTAGCTCTAGCTTCTTATTGTCTAACTCTTACATCTTAAATTAACCCATTTTTATTACTCTGTATATCACCATGAGGTTGTGGCTTACCAGCAAAGTTTCAGCATGTCTATCTCCGGTGGTGGCTCCATGGCATCTCTTGACTCCACCCTTCTTTCTCCCAGAATTTAGTCTAGCTTTCCCTGCCTACCTAAGTTCTGCCTTACTATAGGTCCAAAGCAGTTTCTTTATTCATTAATGGTAATCACAGCACACAGAGGGGACTCTCACATCACCTCCCCTTTTCTGTTTAAATAAAAAGAAAGGTTTTAACTTCAACATAGTAAAATTGCATATAACAAAACAGGTATCAAACAAGAATTACAGCCAGGCGGTGGTGGCACACGCCTTTAATCCCAGCACTCGGGAGGCAGAGACAGGTGGATCTTTGTGAGTTCGAGGCCAGCCTGGACTACAAGAGCTAGTTCCAGGACAGGCTCCAAAGTTACAGAGAAACCCTGTCTCGAAAAACAAAACAAAAAAAAACTATTATAGTTATTATAATAGTTGACTATTATAGTTACAATATTTATATCTACTTTATCTTTTACCATAACTAAGGAAAACTATAATTATAAATTCTTCAACTCCATCAAAGACTCCAGAAAGATATATTACCTAAGTAAACAGGAAGTACATTGTAAGCAATTTCCAAAACTCTAGAATTGACAGAGACATCTCACTGCCTGAACAGTCACCCACAGTTTTTCTGTACCATTGGGGCATCTATCTGGAGCCTACTAGCCCATAGTATCCAGCAGACTTTTCCATGAAGCAGGAAATTTCAAAGACAGTTCCGCCTATATTGGCAGTTTGTCAGTCATTTTTTTCTGTGTCCTGCAGAATGTCTAGCAGACTCTTTCATGAAGCAGGAACCCCAAAGGACTGTCTCACCTTTAGGCAAGTTCATTTCTCTGTGGATTCTGCATGTCCAGTTCATCTAATGAACTCCATAATGAGCCCCTTTGATGCCCATCTTCTTCTTGAAGTAGATTGGTGCTGCTAGGAGCAGATGTGTCTCACTGTCATGAAAAGTCCTAAATTTTTAAAACATTTAAATGCCATATTCTGAAGGTCTCTGAAAGATTTGAAGGATACCTAACTAACTGAAATATATCTCTATATATCTAGAAAACCTAACTAACATGACTACAATCTTGACTATTATAGATGACTATCTATTAACTTATATTACTTAATTATACATTACATTTTAAAAAGAACTACACAAACACAATACCTTAATCAAGGGCAGAAATATACATATATGGTATAACAAAATTTACCTTAAATTTGTATCAATAAATCAAGAGCTATACCAAAGCAAATTATTCATCTCTATAGCATGTCCCCCAAATATAAAGAAAGATTTATAAACAATATTTGGGACTATGGGTGTAGTTTCTTTTTTCTCCCAGCATTCAGTCTAACTTTCTCTGCCTACCTAAGTTCTGCCTTGCTATAGGTCCAAAGCAGTTTCTTTATTCATTAATGATAATCACAGCACTTAGAGTGGACCCCCACATCAGATGTGTGCTATCACCACCCAACTTACTTTCGTTCTTCTTTCTTTGTTTCTTTGTTTCTTTCTTTCTTTCCTTCCTTTTATTAAGATTTTATTTATTAATTTATGCATGTGCATGTTTTGCCTACATGTATGCACGTGCATCATGGTACTCAGGGAGGCCAGAAAAGTATTGGACCCCCTGGAATTAGAATTACAGACAGCTGTGAGCAGCCATGTGGGTGCTCGGAACCAAACCCAGGTCCTCTGCAAGGGCAGTAAGTACTCATAACTGCTGAGTCATCTCTACAGCCCTGGGTTTATTTTTATATTTATTCAACATTATGTGTATATATGTACATTTTTGTAAGTGTGTACCACGGGTTTTGGATACCTTTGAAGGCCAGAACAGGGCACCAGATCCCTTGGAGCTGAGTTAAAGGCCACCATTGTGAGCTTCCCGATGTAGATGCTTCTGAAGAGCAACATGTGTTATTAACCTATGAACCATTTCTCCAGCCTTAGACATTTTTCTTCCTTCCTGCTGCTGGGGGCTGAACCCATGGTCTTGTGCATGTTGGTCAAGCTCTCTACCACTGAGCTACGTCCCCACCCTAGACTAATGCTACTTTTTCTCTTGATGTAAACGGAGCCTGCACTTTTGTTTACCGGCTGCCCAGACCCGAATAATCACACAGAAACTATATTAATTACAGCACTGCTTGGCCAACCACTCGGGCATATTTCTAACTAGCTCTTACATCTTAAATCAACCCATTTCCATTATTTTATATTTTATCACAAGGCTTATGGTTTGTTACCACACATCTTGCTTCTTGGGCAGTTAGGTGTCATTTACCTCACTCTGCCTTCTTTTTCCCTGCATTCAGTTTAGTTTTCCCAGCCTAGCTATATTCTGCCCTGCTGTAGGCCAAAGCAGCTTCTTTATTAACCAATGGTAATAAAACATATTCATAGCATTCAGAGGGGAATCCCACATCATCTTGTTGTGTTGGTGACTTGGTTCCACTGTTCTCTGCCTCCCTGTGCTACCATCGAGAGCTCTGCAGCCTTTCCAGTGGTCTGTTTTCAGTGACCTGATGTCTTCAAGCAATTCTCTGCTAACCTCCTACAGGAATGCAGAGTTTTGTGCAGAAGCTGTTTTTTGTTTTTGTTTGTTTTTTTGTTTTTTATTTTTTTTGTATTGTAGACCCAATGCTCATTCTGCTCCTGCATGGCATTTTAAAAACTTTGGGACTGTCCTTATTCTGTGACCACACTGTTTTTATAGATACTTTATCATGGCGCCTGGGTTAGTGTGGCTCTTGTTATTTACACGTCATGCCCTTTTTTTCCTCAGTAAACTCGGAGGTCCTTGAAGGTAATCCATTTCTAGTACCCAGCATGAACCTGGTTTGGAGTGGATGTTCAGTGATTATCTGTGGACAGAGAGATGGGCCAACATGGCCTATGGCTGTTTGTCTGACTGTAGAGCAAATGGAGTCATCTGGGTCCCCTGCAATTCCAGAGGACTGACGCCTTGCACCAATCCCACCATGCAAGGGCACTTCCGCTCTAGCGGGAAACTGAGACCCACCCCAGACGCCCTTTTCCCTGGGTAAATACTCGCAATCACTTTTTTGCTGTATCACATTGACAGATCAGCCCACATCAACCCTGTACTCCCGGAAAGCCACGCAGCAAGTTAAGAGGATATCAGAAGCCAGAGCATGGATGAGTTTGTATCTGAAAAAGGTGAGCATATGATTGGAAATTTAAGGTCTATTTTATTGTTTTTAATTTGTGTGTGTGTGTGTGTGTGTGTGTGTGTGTACATATAGTGTGCATGTGAGTATGTATGTATGTGAGTGCGGGTGTCCTCAGAGGCCAGAAGAGGGTGTCTGAGCCCCTGAAGCTGGAGTTACAGGCTCTTGTGAGTCACCTGACGTGGTCACTGGGAACCAAACTCGTATCCTCAGGAAGAGCAGCAGACATCCTTAACTGTTGAGCGTCTCCAGGTTAGAGCAGAGGTGAGTTAAAGGAGCCATGGATGGCCAAAGCATCTTCATCTTACGCAGATGGCACGTAAGAGCAGGGGCATTTCTGATTACAGCCCAGATGTTGCCTGCAGATCTCCTAAGGATGATTACTGGGTCAAGAAGACACCCATTGTCAGAGTGTTTTGTCTGTATTTAAATTCCCTGTTGGAGCCAGGTATGGTAGCTCACACCTGTAATCCCAGCATTTAGGAGGCTGACTTGGGAGGATTGCTAAGCATTCTAGCCAGCCTGAGCTATGTAGCAAGTTCTAGGCTATCCCGAGCTAGAGTCAGACCTTGTTCTCTGAAGGCATAAATAATATTTTTTTTCTACTTTAACTCAGACCCCCCATGCATAACAGGAAGAGAGCTGTGAGCTTGCTTCTGCTTCCTTCTCTCTGTTATAGAAATAAATACACTTTTTCAGTGGGTTCAGATCTCACCAGCCTATGCAAGCTTACCACAAGGCACAGCTGTTATACAGAGAAACCCTGTTTTGGAATACAAAACAAAACAAAACAAAACAAAAAAAAGGAAGGAAAGAAAGAAGGAAGGAAAAAAGAAAAAAAAGAAAAAAGAAACACAACATTTCCAGACCAGGGTGTATTGAGGTGGAGCACTTGCCTGCTGTGAGAAGGGCTGGATTGCCAAAAGAAGGCAAAAGTTGGTAGCATCTGCTGCCACCCAGCTCCACTACCACCTGTCTTCTTCTTCTTGTTGTTTGTTTGTTTGTTTTCGTTTTTTGAGACAGGGTCTCTCTGTATAGCCCTGGCTGTCCTGAAACTCACTTTGTAGACCAGGTTGGCCTTGAACTCAGAGATCCACCTGCCTCTTGCTGGGATTAAAGGTGTGTGCCACCACTTCCTGGCTTTCCCCACCCCTCAATTAATACAAGGTCTCATTGTCTCCCAAGCTGGCTTTGAACTGCTTATCTGCCTGCCTTAACCTGCCAACTGCTGACTATGTGCACCACTCCGCTAAGCTTTTTGTGACAGCCTGCTTATTAATTACAATGATAATCTTTGCCATTGGTGAAAAATTCAGTCTTTAAAGTTTTTGTTAAATTGTGTGTGTGTGTGTGTGTGTGTGTGTGTGTGTTGCCTCACATGTACAAGTGACCGTGGAGGAAAAACTTACAGAAATGGAATTACTAGAACAAAACACATACATTAGATTCACAAGAAAAGCATACAGTTGGAATTCACTTGCCCCTAAGCCTGTGTTGGGCATTGTCCAGTTATTTCTGACAAGGGACACGGCTCTTTGTTATTGCAGTAGACCACACGCAGAACCTTTCCTTTGTGTTGGCCTTCCCTGAGGAGGTGTCTTAAGCTGGAGTTGCTGGGCCAGAGGCATGGATGCTGGAAACATATCATGTCCGTTGCCGTTCCTACTGCTGTGATAAGATGCCCGGAGAAGAACAAGCTAAGGGAGAGAGGCTTTGTTTGGACTCATGGTACAGACCATGGAGGTGGGGAGGGGACAGCAGCAGGGACCTGAGGCAGGTGGCCACATTGTGTTCACACTCAGGAAGCAGAGCGCCATGGATGCTAGCTCTGAGCTCATGTTCTCCAAGCCAGACAGGAATAGCCCCACCCACAGGGAAGATGGATCTTCCAATTTGATCAGTCAAGATACTCCCTCACAGATATGCCCAGAAGCTAAATAATCCCTCTTTTTTATGTCTGGAGACTTGTTCCTTGAGTGACTCTAATTCCTGTTAAGTTGATGACACTCTGAATCACACATGACAATATCCTTTTCTTCCTTTTCCCCCAGTCCCACCATGCCTGCAAAAGCCCCACGCTGACTTCAAACCAATTCAACCTTTATGGGAAGAGCCCACTAATCGTGTACTTCTTCCTCAACTACTCCAAGCTGCAGCTGAATGGCCAGGATGTGCTGGTCAGCAGGAGAGAAAAGACCAATGTCGTCCCATATCCTTTTCACCAGACTCCTGCCACCTCTTTGCAGAAGCGGGGCTTGAGGAGAAGCATCCAGGCTTTCGTGCGTAACCTGGCACACAGTGTGTACTTGTTAGGAGCAGCCATGGTATGTGCTTCAGGGGTAGAGTCTTGCTTGTGTGCTAAGGTGAGCCTCAAGTCTAGACCTTGGGTGCTGGCCAGTAGACCCTAAGCATGTCAAATTGCCCCATGTACAGAGCCACGCTTTTTCATCTTTAAGCATGAACTTAGGTACCATAGCTAGATGCTCACTGGTCCAAGAGTGTATGGACCATCAGTTTTGGCATCCATGTGAGAGTTTCATCTAACCTCCTTCTTCCCAGCTCCATTTGGAGCTGGTAAAAAGCTCAGCTCATGGGAAACAGGTGCAGCATGTGTTGGTATTCTGAGCCCTAACAACATGCCTTGGGGCTAGAGCATGAGTTCTACTGGGAATCAGTTTGCTCTGTTTGTTCAAACAGCTCCAGACTCTGGAACTAATGCTACACTAGCCAGCCAAGTGACCTTAGAAACATCCCGGTTTCTCTGTGGGCATCACTTTTTTCATCTGTAAAATCAGAATAAGGGTTTCCACCTCAGGCGTGCTGTTTGTTTTCTAAGACAAAGTCTGTCTGTGTAGTCCTGGCTGGCCTGGAACTTACTGTGTATGTAGATCAGGCTGGTCTTGAACTCACAGAGATCTGCTTGCCTCTGCCTCCTGAGTGCTGGGATTTAAGACTTGTGCCGCCACACCCAGCTTCAGGGACACTTTTGCAGATTGATTCCCAGAGTAGTAGAGGGTGCTCAGCACAGGGCTGGTACTCCAGGCTCATGGGCAGGAGGGCAGCAGAAGGCCTTTTCCTCTTCTGTCTGTAGAGCATGACACAGATTTCTGAAGGATGGTGACAGCTGTCACTAGACAACACAATCCAAACTGTCCCAGCATCACCCTGTCCTTTAGGTCCCGAGGGAGCAGCTGGCTGGCTAGTCACCCTCCAAGCTCCCTAAGTGAAGACGTCCCACCGAGCTAGCGGTGTTGTGACTAGGTGGTGTGTAGCTGGCACTAAATGGCACTAAATGCCATTGCTGTTGTCACCATCCTCTAAAGGAAGGGTTATCTTTTCGAGAGGTTCTTAAGTTAGGGTCTGACCATATAGCTGAGGCTGGCCTCAAACTCAGGGCAATCCTCCTGCCTCAGCCTCGTGATTGCTGAGATTACAGGTGTAAATCACCAGACCTGGCTGTTATCCCCTTTCATAGATAGATAAATGGAAACACAGAGAGTGACAGCGGAGGTTCAAGGCTTGTCACAAATGCAGCCGAGGTTCTAACCAGGGGCTGGAGTGCAGCAGAGGAGAGAGGTGTGGTTTGATTCGGTGTAACCTGCAGCTCTGGCTGGCCTGGAACTCCCTGTGTCCTCGAACTTGATCCTTCTAACTCTATTTTCCGAGTGCTAGGGTTACCGGTGTGCCTCACCACACCTGACTGAAAGAGGGGCCTCTTCAGCATTAAACTTGAAATGGACGATGAAACTGAGTGTGACGGTATGTACCTATACTGTCAGCACTCAAGGGAGGGGCAGGAGGCTAGTTATTAACTTGAGACATAGCTGCATCCTGTTTCAAAAAACCGAAATCCAGCTGGGCTTGATGTGCACACCTTTACTCCCAGCACTCAGGAGGCAAAGGTGGGTGGATGTCTGTGAGCTCAAGGCCAGCCTGGTCTACGTAGTAAGACTATCTTAAAAAAAACAAAAAACAAAAAACAAAAACAAAAACAAAAAAAAAAAAACAAAAAACCAAACCCAAATGCCAAGCCAGAAAACGAGATGAGTCATCAGGCAGGCCTCCAAGGAGGGATATTGGAGTCCCCTCCCCTTTACCATTGTGATGGCAGACTCCAAGTCCAGACTATTCAGCTGGGCTCGGAACTAAACTGGTGGCCTGCAGCTACAAAGAACCGGTGATGCTGGGGAACCCTCTGGAAACAGAGCTGCACTGCCCAGCAGTGGATGCTGCCATCCTCCTTCTTCAGACATCTAAGGAAATACTTTCTGCCTCCCTACCATGGACAGGGCCAAAGGGGGCCTTATGACAAGGTGGACACTGCCTGACCACAGATAGGACAGCTCTCTTCATTCCCAGGCTAGCCATAGCCAACCTCAGGTCACTCCCTCCAAACCCCAGAGCACCCAACATTGTCCTTTGTGCAGTCTACGCTGTCCCTCCCCGCTCCATCTGCAGCCAGCTGCATGAGACACTCATCTCTTGTTTTCTGGATTGGCGTTTGGGTTTGGGTTTGTTTTTTTTGTTTGTCTGTTTTTTCTTGTAAGCATGGGTCTCAGCCACTAACAGTGTGTGTGGGGGGCAATACAGTGGGCCTTTCCTTGACAGCAGAATCCACTGACTCTGCCATGACCTACGCTGACATCATCTTACTGGTCATGAAGAACATGGAGACTCGAAAGAGAAAGCTCAAGCAGCTGTATCAGCTGCACGAGAATGAGTGGACCTATTTTAACAACTACCTGACGGAGCTGCAGGAGAACTTCGAGAGGTAGGAGGGTGTGGAGGGTGTGGGCGTGGACACCCGTCCACTGTGGTGGCCAGCAGGGTTTAGCTGCAGTGCGGTGGGGCTGCTAGCTTGCTCTTTGCCTTCACTGAATACAGTCAGCCTTCCTGTGCTCAGCCGGATGAGAAACAGCTCATTGACAGAGCCTAGCTCCCTTCTTTAGAATGTGTGTGTATGTGTGTGTTTCTCCACTGTGTGTGGTGGTGGCTGTCAGTTGTAAGTCTAGCATTCAGGAAGGCTGAGGCAAAATTACCTCAAGTTCTGGATTACAGAGTAGGAGCCTATCTACACACACACACACACACACACACAACACACACACACACACACACACGAAGAAAAAGCTCTTTAGTTAAAAGCTGACGTCACAGTGTATGCCTGTAATCCCAGCACTCGGGAAACTCCTAACTTGGAGCCTAACTGGGCTCCGGATAGACCTGGCCTGGGATGTGCGTACGGCTAGGAGAGGGCGTCTCTCATGCTGTGTTCCCTTTGCTAAGCCTATGGCAGCAAGCCCAGAAATCCAACTGGTTTTGATCCCCAACTTATGAGTCTCTGGCACTCATTGATTGCCCAGCGAGTGCTTTTAACCTCTGAGCCATCTCTCCAACCCTCTTGCCACCTAACTTCTGACACAGGGTCTCCCACTGAATCTGAGCAAGACTCAGGGACCCTCCTGTCTCTGACTCTCCAGCACTGGGAATGCAGGCACATCTCACATGGCTTTTACACGTATGCTGGAGATATGTTCATATCCTAAGGCTCTCACAGCTAGCACTTTACCACACAGGGTATGTCCCTAGACCCCTGAATATCTAAATAGCAAAATGGTGTTCTGCTTTGTTTTTTAAATGACGGCCAGAGCTGGAATGAAAGTGGCCATGTGGAAGATAACTCGTAGGCGGGCTAGGATGCTTTAGGGACATTACTACTTGTTTCTCTAATAGAACACAGGTCCAGAGCATTGGCTCTGATGTTGAGCAGACTCTGTCTTATTATCCATGTTAATTTATTTTATGTGTGTGTCTTGCACTTCTGCATGTATGTGTACCACCTTAATGCCTGGTACCTACATAGAAGTCAAAAGAGGTTGTTGAATCTCCTGGAATTGGAATACTGATGGTTGTGAGCTGCCTGCCATATGGGTGCTGAGTATTGGGTGTGGGTCTTCTCTAAGGGTAAGCTGAGCTCTTAACTGCTGAGCCATCGATACAGCCCCTTGTGACAACATCTTAACTCACATAAACATATACGAATGGCTCTTTTGTTAACTTTGAATACTCATAATGTGATCTTCGTCAAGTAATTGTCTATTTGCATTTCGGAAGTCAGCTGAGAGTTACCCAGTTCAGCAAAGCCATTATGTGCCCTGTGAACACACTCTACCGAAAGCTTCCAGTAGCAGCAGCTGCCAACACTTTCCGACCATTTCCTGTGTACCTGGCACTGTTGAACATTTGACCTACACCAGCTCACACCTCACCACAAATCTAGTGAGCTCTGTGAACACACTAGCATGGCGAAGTAAAGTCATTTCCCCAGGGTCACACAGCAGGCAGCAGAGGCCCAGTGGATCCAGCTTCCTTCTGAAACTATGCATAGGCGAGGCTTCTTTTAAGATGGTGGAGCCCTTATTTCTTCTGTGGTTTCACTTCATATCCATCATAAAACCCAAGTGGTCTGTATGTGGGATGTGGTGACCCCTGTGTGGTTAGCTGTTTCCTGGCAGACTAATGTAGGTGTTTATCTGACAAGATCGCATTGCAGCCGGGCGATCGCAATGCAGGTGGTGGCGCACACCTTTAATCCTAGCACTCAGGAGGCAGAAGCAGGGTGATCACTGTGAGTTTGAGACCAGCCTGGGCTACAGAAAGAGTTCCAGGACAGCCAAAGCTACACAGAAAAACCCTGTCTCAGGAAAGAGAGAGAAGAAAGAAGGAAAGAAAAAGAAAAGACGACACTGACTAATTCTTTTCAATATATGTCTTTTGTCATCTTATCCCCCAGGGAGGTGAATATTATCGATCAAAGAGCAGCAGAAAGAAAAAGGGCCAACCATGCCTTTCTCTCGTCCTCCTTACTGCTTGATGACTTGCTTGACAAGAAATCCAAAGGAACCCCCCACCGAGAAATGACGTTTCTCTCAAGGTTTGTTCAAACAGAAGCCTTAGAAAATGTCCAGTGTGAATGATGGGAGAATTCTCACCAGGTGGGGCAGGTGTGCAGGTGCCTGTCTGGGTCCAATGATGGGAGAATTCTCACCAGGTGGGACAGGTGTGCAGGTGCCTGTCTGGGTCCAATGATGGGAGAATTCTCACCAGGTGGGACAGGTGTGCAGGTGCCTGTCTGGGTCCAAAGGGCACCCGCTGAGCTTTCCCCAGTCTCGTGTCTCAGAATAGAGAACTGGCCCAGGGGTGGGTAGATTGTAATAGAGATGGTTTATTAAGGAAGGAAAAGGGCTAATTCTGAGGGTAGAGGTGGACTAGAGAGTCAGGAGCCTCAGATGTCACTTGGGGTCACTCACGCACAGCCACCTTCTATGACCCAGGGTCCTGGGGCTCTTCTCCCACGAACTCTGTTTTGTCACTGGTAGCCACGATCGGGAGGGTTTTCCAGTCTTTCTGCCAGCTGGCATCTCTCGCCTGCTCATCTACCTGCTCACCACCTCTCCTGCTCCTCATCGTTCATCACAACACCTTTCTCCATCCCCACCTTCCTGCCACAGCTTTTTCTTGAGACCTGTGCTCCCAGAAGTTTTATGGGGACGTTAAGGGATTTAAAAGAAATTAATTCGGTGCTGGCGAGATGGCTCAGAGGATAAGAGCACTGACTTCTCTTCCAGAGGTCCTGAGTTCAATTCCCAGCAACCACATGGTGGCTCATAACCATCTGTAATGAGATCTGGTGCCCTCTTCTGGCCCACAGGGATACATGAAGGGAGAATATTGTATGTATAACAAATAAGTAAATCTTTAAAAAAAAAAAAGAAATTAATTCTATGTGTATGTGACTGCATGCAGACATAGGTATCCCATTCATGCAGGAGCCCAAGATGTCAGAAGAAGATAGCAGAGACCCTAGAACGAGAGTTAGAGACAGTTGTGAGTGCTGGAAACTGAACCCAGATCCTCTGGAAGAGCAGCCAGTGACCTTAACTGCTTGCCCGTCCCTCCAGCCCCAGGGGTCAGTCGTTTCACAGCTTTTGTGTGTCTGTTGGTTGGAGAGGAACCTCTGGAAGCCTACAGTAGGAGGGGGCTGCCATCCCTGCGTCATAAAAGGTTTTGTTTGAATATATCCTGAAAGACATAAATTTTACAAAATGAAAGCTACAAGGTCTAAATAATAGTAACATGGTCACACTCACCCACGGCCTCATCAAGGGTGAGAGCCAAGAAAGCTGTGTACATGCTCACTCCTGAGAGCCACTCGTGTATGACGTGTTCCCTGAAATGTGACCCCTGCACTGTTAAAAGAAAATGTGCACGCCTTTAATCCCAGCACTCAGAGGCAGGCAGGTCTGTGTGAGTTTGAGGCCAGCAGGGCTACAGAGTAAGTTCCCGGACAGCCAGGGCTACATAGTGAGACCCTGTCTCAAAAAAAAAAAAAAAAAAAAACCCAACAAACACAAACAGAAAACCACATACTGATGGTTATTTATTGAGAATGTGATAAAATACAAAATAATAATTGTAAGGGGGAATCCAGTGATGGAAGAGATTAAGAAGGCAGTATGAGACAGCATCCTCATCCTCTCATGGATGCAATATTTCCACTCCTCCCTGGGATTGTGCAGACATCCTCCACACACCCTACGCTTTTCTTCTGACCTGAAGCTGCTTCCATCTCCCTGAGGCGTCTTTCTCCTGGCTTCTTTGCTGGTTTTACTCTTTGATCTTTGTTGTCTCTGTATTCCGGGTGACTTGGGCTGCCTTCATAGTTCAGGGTGAAGCTCCAAAAAGCCCACAGGAGCCAACCCTGATGGCTGGGGCTCCTCCCTTCTTGTGACAGGGAAGCAAGCCACCTTTTCTCAGGACCATTCTGTGCTGGGGAGGGAAGAGCCTTTCTCTGTGGGCTGATGCCTGGCCGACTGCTTTCTGGAAACGCTGTGGAGCAGGTGCCCTGCATTTAAATAACCCCTCGATTCCCTTTGTCTTCTTATTTTTCTGTATGGTCTTATATCACCAACCTCTTTATTTTAGTTTCTCTAGGAAATAAAAACCTTTCATTCTTGTGACAGTTCAAATCGTTATATAAATTAGGATTGCAGCCAGATGTGCATCACAGAAAAAATAGAAAAGTCACAGTGTAGACGTTAAACCCTGGAAGTGGACAGTCTAGGCCTGGTGGGGGTTTCAGGGCCTTCGGGAAACCAGAACCCAGCCTGTCCCTTAGGGTTCCTCAGGGTCTCACGTGGCTGCTGAAGTTTCAGGCATTCAGTCTGTGTTCCAGGCCAGCAGCTCAAGAAGGTTAACCTTACTTATTCTTAGCTTTCTTCCCAGAAGTCCCAGTTGCTTTCCCTGTGTTCTCATTGGTAGCCTAAGAATATAGCATTTCCCCCTTACCACTTCAGTGTCCAATTCAGTATTTCTGAAAGTCCTTTTGAAATTTGGTGATTTTGGTGATTTGAATGACTCCTGTAATTTTAGTGGTGAGCATCAGTGACCACCATGTAGTTTTGAAACTTTTCCCTCATCTGGTAAAGCTCTGGCGGGCTCCTTTCCAATAGAGCCCCATTCCTTCCTGTGTTCTAGAAGGACCTTCCCTGGAAATACTGTGATATTACCATTTTATTTCAGGGGCCTGATAGTAGTCACATGGTACAAAGGAGCTTGGGAATTGTAATTTTAAAAATTGATAAGGATCCTATTTCCCAGAGTCTCGTTCAGTCTTGGTCCTCAAGCTGCTGCTGGAAGATTAATGGGGGGGGGGGGGGGTGGCCTTGTGTTGGCTCTACTTCCTTTCCCTTCACCAGCCTTGCCAACTCATTTAACTTCCCATGTGTTTCAAGGTGCCAGGAGAGCTGCTTCCGGAGAAACCACACTGAATTTCTGAGCTAGTTTTATTGACATCCATTTTGCTTCCACACAGGAAGAAACAGAAAGAGGTGGAAGAGAAACAGAGGGGTTTCCAGTCCCCTTTCTCATTAGTAAGTCTCGATAACTACTCCCTGGGCCTACAAAGCCCCTACAGAATCGGACCTCCTTCCAGTGCCAGGTGAGGTGGGCCAACAGTGGGAAGACGGGACTAGGAAGTACCCACCCTCCAGCCTAGCTCTCTCAGGGTTTGCCTGAGAGACCTACCTGGCAGGGGAACTCCGTGCAGGTCCACTGCATCTTTTCAGACATTTTGCTTCCCCTCGCTGTTTGAAGTATTGTCATAATAGTGCTACATTGTCGGATGAAAATAGCAGCTCCATTTACCAATGGTTTACACTGTGCTGAACATTGAGAAAATAAGCCCAGCACAAACATGACCACATATGAAAGTTAAGCTTTCCTGAGGGTAGGGACTAGTCACGGGTTCCCAAACACAGACACAGGTTACAGCCCACTGCCGTAGGCACCTGTGGGAATCCAGCAGTAGGTCCCCACAGCCCCAGCTGACAAGCAGTGAAGAGTGAAGGGCAGCAAATAGATCAGCAGATTAAATGCCCACAGCACCTGGGAAGATGGAGCAGGGCTCCAGGAGCCATGCAGGAGTGATGTGACTGTCTGGCACAGGTGACAGAATTTGCTGGCAGGAGGCAGGGATGTGAAAGAGGCAGCAGCTAGGAGAGCAGAGCCAGAGGTGGAGAAAGACTCAGATCATAGGGACCACTGCCTGGGAGGCGGGCAGAGCAAGGGATGGAGAAAAGCTCAGGATGGAGGCGGGGCACCACATGGAAGGAGGTCGAGGCAGGGTGTGGGCAGGACATCAGAGACTCTTAAGGCTGTCTCTGGACAAGCGAAGTTTTTATGAAGTCCTTTACTTTCTGTTATGGGAAGTGCTGGAAGATGGTCAGCAAGGGTATGTCACTTATTAAATTTGGCTTTCAGAAACCCAGTGGCAGGTGTGTGTGTGGGGGACTTGTAAAGGGTCCCGCAAACCCTTGTCTGAACTTGGTACCTGTATATACCTCCCAATTAGGAATCCGCAGACTTTCTCAAGCTTGGCTCAGAAAAATATTTCAGAAACTAGTCCTTGATAACATATTGCTAATTAAGAAGCCATTTACAGCCTGGCAGTGGTGGCACACTCCTTTAATCCTAGCACTCAGGAGGCAAAGGCAGGCTGATCTCTGTGTGTTCAAGGCTAGTTTGGTCTACAAGAGCTCCAAAAGCCACAGAGAAACCCTGTCTTGAAAAACAAACAAACAACAACAACAACAACAAAAACAAAGGGAAAAGAAAAAGAAAGAAAGAAACCGTTTACAAGCAGAAAGTGGCGGCATGAGGTTATAATCGCAGCACTTAGGAGGCTGAGGCCAAGGATTTTAAAAGAACAAGTCCGGGGATCTAATTGGTGAATTAGTTCTTTTTGTTGCTGTAATCAAACACACAAGACTGAGTGTTCATGACAAAAAGATTTATTTAGCTTACAGTTCTGGAGGTCTCAGAAAAAAATGTATGTATTTATATTCTGTGGGCTGTGAAATACAAACCAAAAAAAAAAAATCAGAATTTTCAAAGGATCTTGCACACATGCACTGACTGAGTAAAGTCCTTGCCACACAGTCATGAGGACCTGCTCTCTAGAACCCAACCTGCACCTGTAATCCCAGTATTCCTGCAGTGAGATGGAAGAGGAAGTGGAGGCAGGCAAACCCCAGGAAGCTTGTGGGCTAGCTAACCTTGTAAATAACATCAAAAAGATGATCTCAAACAAGGTAGATGACAAGGACCAACACCCAAGGTCATCCTCTGACTGACACACATGTGCCGTAGTACACATGTGTCCCCCCCAAATATCATACACCCGTGCACACACACAAAAGGATGGTATAAACACAGCATCAGCTGACTGCTGCTGAAAGACCCCGGGTAAGTGTGAACCAGGCCAACAGCTTCCCTTTTGGTTTACCGCACAGAAAAGGTCCAGGTGTGGCAACTGTCGAAAGTGTCAGAGAACCATTGCTGCCACCTCTGTGGTCCTTACCTCTTAGGTCAGGAAGTCTTGGAGCATGCCTGGCTGGGAGTCCTGGCCAGGCTCGACTCAAAAGAACTCCTTTTTGCTGGGCCCCGCATCTGGGTTAAATTCTCAGAACCTAAAGGACAGCTCACAACCATCTAATTCCATTCTAATTCCAGGGAATCGAATGCCCTTTTCTGGCCTCCAAGGGCACTAGGCATGCACGTGGTGCACATATGTACATGGCCAGCAAAACACTCATACACATAAAATAAAAAAAAAACTAAGAAAAGGAAACTTTAATTGTTATTTTAATTGAAGTAGGGTGAAGCAAGGCAGAGTCATCTCTCTGTATCTTCAGTTTTTCAAGACAGGATTTCTACGTGTAGCCCTGACTGTCCTAGAACTTGCTCTGTAGACCAAGCTGGCCTCAGACTCAGAGATCTGCCTGCCTCTGCCTCCCAAGTGCTGGAATTAAAGATATGAGCCACCATGGCCTGTAGCAGAAGGCCGCTTGTTGGTTCCCAGCCGATTAGCCCTGAAATAATTACACAGAAACCATATTAATTAATTCACTGCTTGGCCCATTAGCTCTAGCTTCTTATTGGCTAACTCTTACATATTAATTTAATCCATCTCCATTAATCTGTGTATCACCATGTTGCTGTAGCTTACCGGGTAAAGTTCCTAGCATCTGTCTCTGGCAGAGGCTCCATGGCTTCTCTCTGACTCTGCCCTTCTTTCTCCCAGCATTCAGCTTAGTTTTCCCCACCTAGCTCTGTTCCCCTATAGTTCTGCTACAGGCCCAAAGCAGTTCCTTTATTTATCAATGGTAATCACAGCACCCAGAGGGAAATCCCACATCAATCGCCAGGCTTGGACACAGTCATCTTTTAAGGGCTAAATAGAGAGGCAGCGATCTCAATCACCGAGCTTTTAAAGTGCTCCCCCTCAGGACCCCCTGGTTCTATGACCCTATATGGTTCTTATCTTGATTCTCAGGCTCTTTCTCTGTAAAGTGGGAATGATAATAGTACCTATGGCCCAGGGCTGATGTGCAGAATGAATCGGCCAGCTCTTTGTAAAGCCCAGAACACAGTGCCTGACACAAGCAAAGTAGATGTGACAGAAGTGTGTCATCATCATCATCATTACGTTACTGTTTGAGGTAGGGTCTCACTGAGTATTCCAGAGTGTCCCCAACTGAAGAGCCTCCTACCTCAGCCTCCCAAGTGTTGGATTACAGATGTGTGCCACTGTGCCCTGCCCTAGCAATGCTCTTGGCACTTCCTTCTCCCCGGCACATCTAACATCAGGTGCTGTGGTTCCTTCCTCTTCTTCCCCAAGGCCTGTGGGCTGATGCGATCACTTTTATTGGTCCCTAGTAGGATTCATTCAACACTCTTGTCAACGAGCCAGGCCTCTGTTCACTTATTCCTAGGTGTTTTTGTTCTGAGAGCTAAGCCTAGCTGTCTGTTTTAATTTGCTTGTCTTGATTCTCTCCCTCTTGTGTATTACCACAGTCCCAGATTCTTCCTTGGTTGTATACATCTCCCCCTGTCCTCGTACATTCATGGCATGTATGTCCCTGTCACCTGTTGTTTGCTGGCCTTTTGACCCGCTTCCCCCAGGTGCTTGATTCTAGCCTGCTGTCGTCTTGGTCATAAGAAGTTCCCACCATTTATGTCTGTGTCTTTTTCATTCCTCCACAGCAAGCGCAACGCCAATATGTTCCGAATCAAGCAGGAGATGCTCTTTAGACTCTCCCCGACTTCCATGGAATGAACGCCAAGGATAGGCTCTGACTGCAGAGGTGGTGCCTGCCTGTGTTGTCGGACAGCAGTGAGAGCTCTGCTGCAGCCAGGGCCATGCTGAGTCTTCCTCAGTCCACTGGATAAAGAATATTAAAGTGCTCATCTACCACGAGCCAAAGTGAGGGCTGACAGAAGGTGACTCACCTCATCCATTCAGACATTTACTGATGCATTCTTTCATTCACTTATTAATAATAACCACACAATTCAACGCATCATTACGAAACATAGCAAGACCCTGACTCAAAAAAAAAAAAAACCCAAGTAAACAGGAAGTATTAGAAGGGAACTGAGCTTGGTGGTGGTGGCGCACGCCTTTAATCCCAGCACTTGGGAGGCAGAGGCAGGTGGATCTCTGTGAGTTTGAGACCAGCCTGGTCTCCAAGAGCTACAGAGAAAACCTATCTCGAAAACTAAAAAAAAAAAAAAGAAAAGAAAAATGAAATAAAAAAAAAAAGATCCATTCTATAAGTTCTGTTACTCTGGAGAATCCTGACTGATTTTGGTACCAGAAGTGGTTGCGCAGCAACAGAAATATAAGAATGAATCTTTTAAGTGTCTGGAATAGGCTTTCAATTTGCTTACACCTACAAGTACTGAGACCTCTCCAGTTATCAAAGCCTCTCCTGGGAGCTCAGAATGGACTAAAAGTCCATGATGTGAACTATTTTACAAACTTACGGAAATAAATACATTTGATTATTCTTTTTTTTTTTTTTTTTTTTTTGATTTTCGAGACAGGGTTTCTCTGTGGCTTTTTGGAGCCTGTCCTGGAACTAGCTCTGTAGACCAGGCTGGCCTTGAACTCACAGAGATCCACCTGCCTCTGCCTCCCGAGTGCTGGGATTAAAGGCGTGCACCACCACCGCCTGGCTTTACATTTGATTATTCTGATTCATCAAACAAACGGCCTGCTGAAGGCCTGGAGAGGTGGCTAGGAAGAGCAGGGGAAGGAGGATGGAAAGAATTACGCAGCACCCAGGGAAACTTATAGGGCTATGTTCACTGTCTCGACAGTGGTGAGAGATCCACATCCGTAATTTACCTTAAAGGCGTGTATGCTCTTGTGTTAACTACACCTCAGGCTGTTGTTTACAAATGCATGTGGATTTGTAAACAGGATTACGTGCCTGTAATCCCAGCACCTGGGAGGTGGGACAGGGAAGATCAAGAGTTCAAAGCCAGCTTCCACCACATCTCAAATTCAAAGCCAACCTGAGCCCTACTAGACAAAGTCTAGTCTCAAAACAAAGAAAACAAATTATAAACATAGATATTTCCAAATTCTGTCCACTGAAATAACCTAGAAATAAAAGCTGATAGCAACCCAGGATACCCTTCCCCAGTGCTAGGCAAGTGCTCTACCACTGAGCTGCCCCCACCTCTAGCCCCGGACTGTGGCTTGAGATAGCATTCCCTTTAAATGAACACACCAGGCTGGTGTCCAGTGGTTTTCCACACTGATTCAGAGCACATAGACTTGAGCCAGCTGTGAGTCCAATGCAGTGTGGAAATGGTAGTCGTGATAGACCCTGCCCCACCGTGTCTGTTTGAAGCTGATACTTCATGAAAAACACATAGAGCAGAGCCCAGTCCAGCAGGGGCTGTGCAAGGTGCTGGCCATCCAGCTCGTGCGTGCTCCACAAACGTGGCCAGGTGGCCTCTTCCTTTGCACCCGAACCCGGCTTTCTCTCCAGAGGCTCACACTGCGGAAGAACCACTTTCCCCTCCCTGAAGAAACCTCGGTGGATCTGTCTCCCACCCTGTAAGGCAGGCCAGGCCTCAACCATTTCCTGCCCAATGCAAATAAAGAGCTCCCCAGGAACAGCTGTACTTGGTTCCCAGTGGCCTGCCTGATCCTCAGATGGCTCCATGTAGCCCACCCCCTGTCTCTAGCTTCCCAGTGAGACTCTGCTTCTTTAGGGCAGGTGTCTGTCTTTATCTCTGTATCCAGCAGAGAACTGAATTGAGAAGTGTCTGGTGAATGCTGATGCAACGCATGGTAATAGGTTTGCCTCCCACGTCTGTACGAGGGATGTGGATGCAGTGCATGGTAACAGGTTTGCCTCCGACATCTGTATTTGAGGTTAAAAGGTTTTCGCCTTTGGAAATATGAACAAATGAGAAAGTCCAAAACATATGATGAGTCGCTTCCATGTGTATATTGAATATATCTTATGTCTATATATTAAAACATTTCCATAGAATTCATTCATTCATGTATGTTAAAATGTATGTGATACACACACAATTATACACACCACACACACACAATTATTTGGGGCAGGCCCATCTGTTATCTATATTAAGTTAGCATATATCATAAGTTTATTCATGTGTTTTTAGTTTAAATTTTTTCTTTGCAGTATTAGACATGGAACCTAGGGCCTTGCCTATGCTCGGCAAGGACTTTCCCAGCAAAGCACTCCTTCACATTTCGGGGTCTTACTAAGTTTCCTGGGCCACCCTTGAGCTTGTGAATCTCCTGTCTTCGTCTATGGGCCCAGCTGCCTGCCACTGCATGGTTTGGGGAGTGGGAGGCACACTCATGAAAGAAGCTTAAACTAAAGGGGTAGAAATAAGTCTGAGCCTAGATATTTGCATTCCTTTAAATCCTGCACTTCTTCGTATTGTCTGACTTGTGTCGTCCGTGCTGTGGCTCCCAGAGTGTCCCAGACTTCTTTTCTGGGAATGGGAATTGGTACAACCTAACATTTCCAGGAGCCTAGGATGCCTTTCAAGGTCCCTGAAACTATGCCTGCCCCGTAAGCCAACTACACTTCTGGAAATCTACCTAAGAAAATCTCAGGAAAGAAGGCACGCAGAAGATGCTTTATCTGTCACCTCAAGATGACATCATCAGGAAAAAAAGGCATGAAGAAAATGCTTCATCTGTCACCTTTGGATGACATCATCAGGAAAGAAGGCACGCAGAAGATGCTTTATCTGTCACCTCTGGATGACATCATCAGGAAAGAAGGCACGCAGAAGATGCTTTATCTGTCACCTCTGGATGACATCATCAGGAAAGAAGGCACGCAGAAGATGCTTTATCTGTCACCTCTGGATGACATCATCAGGAAAGAAGGCACACAGAAGATGCTTCATCTGTCATCTCTGATAAAATGGGATGCTCATTACTAACAGACATTTTGTGCAGCCATTTAAAAGCTATGTGAAAAATGCAAAAGTAAGACTAGGGATGTGGCTGGGGGCAGAGTGCCTGTCGAGTATGCCGGTTTTAATTTTGTTAATGTTTTCAGTAAAGACCAGTTGTTTTTATTTTGGTTTTAATTTCTAAAACTTGGATGATTTTTTTCTTTGTTCCTCTCCCCCATTAAAATGTAGGCAGTCCTTAGATGAGTGTGTATGTACACATCAGTTTGTCACAATGTCTCCCCAGAGTAATAAGCACAGTATTTGAAACTGGGCACAACATAAAGGGAACTAGGACAAGAGCAGAAGGCAGGCCTGGAGATGCTTGGAGCCCAAGCTGATGCTTTCCCAGACAGCTGTCCCTTCTATTGGCCTCCAGCTTCATACACTGTCCCACATCAGCCTTTGTCCTCTCGTTTTCCTGCCAGTCTCTCGGGCTCAGCCTAAATGATATGTTTTCTCTCCCCCAGACAGATCAGGTGCTTTTGTGTGTTTCCATACCATCCTGCATTTCTTTCTATTTTTAAGATTGTTTCTCTCTTTGGCCGGGCGGTGGTGGCGCACGCCTTTAATCCCAGCACTTGGGAGGCAGAGGCAGGCGGATCTTTGTGAGTTCGAGACCAGCCTGGTCTACAAGAACTAGTTCCAGGACAGGCTCCAAAACCACAGAGAAACCCTGTCTCGAAAAACTTAAAAAAAAAGATTGTTTCTCTCTTTGTTTGTGTGTGTGTGTGTGTGTGTGTGTGTGTGTGTGCATGCATAACGTGTGTGCAGGCCAAAAGAGGGCATTAGATCCCCTGGAATTTAAAGCAGTTGTGAGTCACCTAGTGTGTGTGGGTACTGGGAACTGAATTCAGGTCCTTTAGAAAAAACCCTTAACTCTTAACCATGGAGCCCCAAATGTATTCTTGCAACAGAAGAATAATAAGATCCCAGGTTAAGAGCTTACCTGGCTGTGTACTAGCGGCAGGCATGTACGGGGGCGGGAGGCAGAACAGGCTGCATGGACCTGTTTGCTAATCCTGGGAATGAGTCCCAGGGTCCTAGCCTAAGTGAAGCCCCTACCACTGAGCTTTCTCCAAGGATCGTGCTTTGAAAGTAGAGTTAAAGCATAGGAACATGGTTCTCTCTTCATTACTGTGAAGTCGTGGCTTTATCCTGTTCTCACAGGATGGTCACACAACAGTAAGAGCCCGAGAAAATCATCTTTCATAAGTTTGGATCACTTTGTCTAAGAAGTGGTATTCATCTTTGGGAGACTGAGAAAAAGAGTTCCCACTTGTTTGGGGCAGTGTCTTAGTCTCTGTTCTATTGCTGCGAATAGACACCACAACTGCAGCAACTCTTACACAGGAAATCATTTAAGTGGGGTTTGCTTACAGCTCCGAGGCTTAATCGTTATCACCATGGCAGGAAGCTTGGTGGCATGCCTGCAGACACATGGCGCTGAAGAAGGAGCTGAGAGTTCTGCATCAGGATCCACACTCAAGCAGCAGGAAGAGAGAGCTACTGGGCCTGGTTAGAGCATTTGAAGCCCCTAAGCCACCCCTAGTGACACACTTCCTCTAACAAGGTCACACCCTCTAGTCCCTGTCAAGTAGTACCAATCCCTAAGGACCAAGCATTGAAATATATGAGCCCATAGGGACCATTCCTATTCAAACAGGCAGTAATTTGAAAATACAGTTGGTCATGGTGGTACATGCCTGCAATCCTGGCACTCAGGCAGGGGAGGCAGGAGAATTGGGAGTTTGAGCCCAGCCCAGGCTATGTAGCGATTGCCTGTTTGGAAAAACAACAACAGCTGGGTGGTGGCGGTGCTCACTTTTAATCCCAGCACTCAGAAGTCAGAGACAGGTGGATCTCGGTGAGTTCTAGGACAGCCTGGTCTACAGAGTTCCAGGACAGGCTCCAAAGCTACAAAGAAACCTTGTCTTGAAAACTCAAAAAAGGAAAAAAAAAAAGGGAAAAGAAAAACAACAAAACAGCCAGGTAGTGGTGGTGCATGGCTTTAATCCCAGAACTCAGGAGACAGAGGCAGGTAGATCTTTGTGAGTTTGAGGACAACCTTGTCTGCAGAGTAAATTCCAGGACAGCCAGAGCTGTTATACAGAGATACCCTGTCTTGAAAA